AACTTTTGTCAGGCTGATCGACGCCCTTGGATCATTTATTCCTGCTCACCCTTGCATATGATCGCTGTTATCCAAGATCCCATCATGCGGAGATAGATCCCATATGGCTCGGGTTAACTGTGACAGGAATGCTTGTCATAGCCAACTGCACCTGCAGCCCTCCGTATCACATGCTGGCGAGTGATATGGTTATCGCCGCGAGGCAACTTCCAACCCAGACCCCAGAATAACTGCATGCACGCTAGAATTTGGGATTTCTCTTCTCCGATTCCAATAACGGGCCCTAATAGCTGATAACGAAAAGCACAAACACATGCTCAAAGAGTGTGGAATGCTAGTACCTCGGCATGACGCGGAAAGAAACTAATACCTTAGGATGTGGGATCCACCTGTGCACTGCCGATGCAGTCAAGCCCATCTGGAAGGTGACTGAAAAGGAAGGGGGAAAGTACCGTACATCCACAGCCGCAAATCGAGGGTCAGCGAGTGTGGCGCAGAGCAGCCCCCGTAGTCCATACTAGAAAGTACCCGGTTTTTTTTTATCATGACGAACGCCCGATCTGCGGTATTGATGTGTTTTCTTTTGGCTGATGCATTCCTGGCCCTATAGCTCGCGGGGATTCTGGTCGCTGGAGCCAACCAGCGTCCATGGCCCCACTGCAGTCGACATACAGTAGCTTGCATGGGATCTCGGGCCTGCATATCTCTCAGGCAATGTGATCCGTCACGGGGGAAGCCCTGCGTGCAGTGATGCGCTGTTCGTGGTTGCATTATGCTCCCCCCCTTTAAACATCCTCTTCAAGTCCCGTTTGTTGGCTTTGTTGTTTTTCCTCGCCTTCGACTCCTTTTCCCCTTTTCGCTTCCCACTGTCGCATCATGACCCGGCATGTGTCGTTTCGTCGTTTTCGGTCAGAATAAGGTGCTTGACCATCGCTATTGGGATTTACAACGTGCTACCGCAGGCGATTGTGTCTGTTGAGATCGATTTCCTTGTCTGTGACAGTGCCGGACCCGAGTCTTCGAACGCGCATTCGGCCCTTTCACCTGGGGCTCCGACATCTCTTCGAGTGGTCGACCCCACAATCGAAGAAATCGCCCGTGATATTTCATTGGATTTGTCAAAACAAGCAGTATTCCGGGTATCAAGATCAAGGTATTGTCTCGATTTTTTTTTTGTTTGTTTAGGTGTCCAAGCGAATGTGGGAGGTCTAGGGCCTAAAGGGCATTCTTTGGTTCGGGATGACATAAGGAACTCAACTCTGGAACCAAAGTTGGAAAACTTTGGTTGACAGGCGGCAGCTATAACCGCCAGGAGATATTCCTTCGCATGTCTATCTTGGACGTTTGGAACATTCAAGCTAATTACAGAATTCAGATCGAGTGTGGAGACCAAGACCACGACCCCCGGACATAGGCAATGCGGCTTGATCGTGCATATCTCCACTTTTGACTGGAATGCTTAGACGCCGGACCAGGGCCCGAGTCCACCTGGCGTTTAGACCACCTTCTGCGGCCGACAAGAAAAAAACCGGGTCTGATCACCCTGCATAGCCGGCGCCAACTTTGTGGGCTTTTTGACAAAGAAACAGACGCGGACTTAAACTAGTTGGACTAGTCTCTATTTCGGAAAGAGAAAGCCAGAAGTTTACTGATCCGGATCGCCCCCTGGACCGTGGGTAGCTGAACCTATTCCACTTTTCTTCCGTCTACGGGTTTGATTTCCTTTTCTCTTTTTTATCGGTTGGGCTTTTCTTCCCCCTAAAGGAACGCTTGAGAAAAAAGAATCCACCTCAGCTGATCTCGTCTTCGAAGAGATTGTTACTGTGTATAATTTGAGGATCTCTTTTTGATTTCGATTTCAACAATTTCTTTTTCTTTTTTTTTTCTAAAAAAAAAGGTTTCTGTATAATTCATCGGGTTAGTTCATTTTTTTTTTTTTTTTGATTTGTGGGATTCTTTGAATCTGATTTGTTCAACACCGTGAGATTTTGGAAGCTTGTGGTCCAATTGATTTTGATCTTTTTTTTTTTTCCTGAATTTGAATCCTTTTTTTTCCCCCAAATTTATTGATAAATATTCTTTAGATTCACGGTCGGATCATCTACTTCCAATATATCGGGGGACCGTTATTACCCAGAGAGAGCCGCTTAAGGTTTTTGTCTGGAACCGTGCTCGGTTGGCTCTTTCCGCTTGCAAACTGACGACACCACTCCGTTTTCGTCACCTTTTGACCATCTCTCTCTCTTTGCACTTCGTGTCGTTCATTTGTCTTCTCTTCCATGGTTGAAGTTCAAGGAATCAGAAGAGAAAAAAAAATCCTTACCCCACTACAGCACCCCTCTTCGACGACATCGTGACTCGTCCAGGGTTCTCGTTCCCTTTATCTTCTTCTGACTGGATTTCTTCTCGGTCCAAAGACCCGTTCCCTTTTTTTCGCACTTTGCCTTGTAAAACCACAGATCACTTCTACCTGGTCTACTGTATTCCCGAGGATCGACCTGCGTATCTGGGTGGTTCACAGTCTTTCAAAGCAACCTCAAAAATTCGGGGTTCCCTCCACCTTTCCCTCGTTTGTTTGTGACTCGTCTTGATGAGTGCGACATTCTCCGACGCCTCTCTCTCGCGCGAAGCTCAGGGGTGAGTTTGTTCTTCCCGTGTCTACTTTGACAGGGTCGCAACTCTTACGCGGTCGTCCAGGGAATCCCACTGACAATGTTGAACAACACCAGTTCTGACTTTGACTTGATCATTCGCCAGCAGCCCAATCGGGCCCGCGTGGCGGGGGGTAAAGAAAAAGGTATGTTCAAGCTCTCTCCTGTTCCTAGTCTCCCGTCTGTGAAGCGGAGAGGGAACTGACAGGGAAGGAACCGGGATCTAATGGCGCCTGCAGAGCGCAAACCTATCGATCCGCCCCCGATCGTCCAGCTCCGGGTGCGAGAGGAAGGCACCTACCTCGCACAGTAAGTGTGCATTCACCGTGGCTTGGAGCGGGTGGCTGACTTGGGCACAGGCATTACCTGCAAAGTCCTTACTATTTCATGTGCTGCAGTCTGTACGATGCAACAGAAGATCGTCCGGTGCCCGTTGCACCGTCGACTGCGTTAGCAGGAACCCTAGTTTCGTCACTTCACCGGTTGAAGGATGTGGACAATAGCGGTTCGTTCTGTCTGGTCTTGAAATCGATGGGGCTTGTTCACTGACAGGGTTTGCAGACGGAGGGTTCTTCGTCTTTGGAGATCTCTCAGTGAAAATCGAGGGCGAGTTTCGCCTGAAGTTTACCTTGTTCGAGATGCGAAAGTGAGTAGCACGGTCGGGAGCCCATTCTGAATCTCAAAAGCTAAGAGCCCACAGGGATCGTGTCTCCTACTTGAAGACCGTAATTTCAGAGCGGTTCACAGGTAAGAATCTGCCGTGGAGAGAGCTGGCATAGTTAGGTTTTGACAAGCTCGCAGTGTCTCCTCCCAAGAGTTTCCCTGGAATGATGGAGTCAACTCACCTTTCCCGATCCTTTGCGGATCAGGGTGTGAAATTGCGCATTCGGAAGGAACCTCGGACCATGTTGTACGTGCGATGAACGTGATGGGAAATGTCAAGCGCGTGTAGCTAATAACCGCAGAAAACGAACGACACGGCCGGACGAGTTCCATCAGCCAGTCCCTACTCGATCCCCAGAGCGTCAGTCGGTGCAGATTCCTCCAGCAGCTAGCTACGGAGGCTATCCGCCGGCGGCCCGGGAGTATGGGTACTACGGTCAGCAGCCGCCGGTCAAACGTCATCGTACTTCGATCGACTATGGCAGACAGCAGAATCTCTATGATGTGGATGGTCGAATGGCCCGTCAGATGGATCCATATGGCCAACCAACAGCTGCCATGTACACTGGTCAGCCAGCAACTTATCAAACGCCTGGTGCTATGCAAACTTACTCCACGGGGCAGGTGGTGCCTGATTATGCGGCGGTGCGTATTCTCAACCCCTTGCCCCCCTCCCCTTTTTTGCAGATCTTGGGAACTCTTTGAGCTGACCTCCGTGAATAGATGTACCCGGGTATGCAAGCATCAGCAGGCATGCAAGCGTCAGCCCCCATGTCCCAAATTCCCGACCCTACCGGTCAAACCCGCTCTAGCCAGCAGCAAGCCACTGTGGGACAATTGATGGCGATGAACCAGCCTGGCACTCCTGTACGGCACCCCTCTGCGAACCAGTGAGAGTGTGGAATAGAATACCTAGCTAAGGATTTTGGACCCGAGACAGACCCCGGATTCGACTGGAGCGATGTTAGCTCAGGGATACACCCGGTCCGGATACCCTCCCACCTCGACTATCCTCCCTCCTCTGCAGCGGAATCGCGACTATCCCCAGGGAACCAATGGATCCACGCGAGGTTATTTCGACCAAACTCAGGCGAATACCCCTATTCTTCCATCTCAAATGGTCAACGAAGGCGATCGATTTGGCTCCGTGGCCGGCCCAGCAACCTTTGATCCCCCTGATTCCACGAATGGAACGCCCCAATGATTTGCTTGACGTCCTTGACGTTCTGGCTTTATGTTATCTTTTTTTCTCTCTTATTTCTTATGTCTTGATAGACTGGGAGGAGTGTTTCATTATTCTTTTTTTTTATGCTTGATGCTTGAACTGGGTGGCTAAAGGTTTTTATTATTTTTTTTTACAGGCGCTGGCGGATATAAAAGGGGGAGGTCTTTCTTTCATGGGATTGGGAGAAAAGTGAGACTATTATTAAGCCCTTCTTGTACATACAGGCCCTCTTTTCTAAAGCAGTATCACTGGCTTGCAAGTGCTGCTTTTATATTTTTTTTATTTGACGATGTATGAGGTGGAAATGCTATGGCTTAACTTGACGTACCTTCCTAGGTTTGCTACCTTCCAAGCTTCCCTTTTCCTCAACTTCTCTTCAATCTTCAACTTTCCTCTCTTGTATCAGTTTACATTTTCATTTCTTCATTCTCCCATTTCATCTTCACTGATTTCATCTCACTATGGAGTCTACTACGGAGCCTACGGAGACTACGGAAACCGCCATGAACCCTAATGACAGCCCTCTCAGCAATCTCGATTTGTGGTGCGACTGGAGTGGTAGCCCAGAGGATCCAGTCTCCATCACAATCGCCATGGAGGTAACACTGAAACATCAAGCCTAGAATCTTCTCTCTAGTGCTGACTCTCGTCTGAATTAAGCTACAGGCCCGCGATCATCCTAACCTGAACTTACCAGTCCTCAACGTTCAGTCGCCAACCGTCGTCAAAAGCCCGTCTTGGGTCATTCGGTTGAAGCCTGAACTCACCCAATATGACGACACTCCACCTGGAAAAGAGACTTGGCAGCCAGGCCAGGAATATGGTGTTGAGAGCGAGAGATATCCTGCCAATAATCCCTCCATCTCGAAATCTGGAAGTGTTGTTGTCCATGACGGTCCGCGGGATGACAACCCTGTCTCTCGCCATACTGCAGGTATCTTGACCCAGGTTGATGGCTCGGATATCTCAATCTCTTCCGACCCTCGCAAGATGCAGAGCCAGGTCAATAGATTCGGTGGACTGAATTCTCCGAACCCTCGTAAGAGAACCGCCAAGGCTGCTTCTCTGCCTGATTCAATCCCCCTGACGATGATTACCAAGGTACCAGGCACAAAGTCATGATGACCAAGACTGACCTACCGGAACTGGAACCTGTGCCACAGGATACTAGTACCAGTATCGTGACCTCCACCCCTAGTCCCATTCGCAGCCTTTCTCCCAGTTTGGACAAAACCAGTGTGACCAACGAGAACATCCCGCCTCAATATTCGGCTCCAGCTCTAGTGTCAAGTTCCCAGGTTACATCTGAGCGTCCTTCGCTAGACAGCAAGGGAGTGACTGTCGGCCTTCAAGATGTGCCCGATGAAATACCTCTTTGCCACAATGCAGAAATTCCCAGAAAGATTGACTTGTCCAGCACCGAACCCCTCACCGAAGCGAACTTGCGGGTGCAGAGTTATGATACACTTTCTACTCGTGTGTGCAACGGAAGCCTTTCTGATACCGAAAACAGTGACGAAGAAAGCGAAGATCTGCTTCTTTGCCTTGAATCCATCCGATCTTCATCATTGTTTTCGGGCCGTGATAAACTCCCTTTCCCCCGAACGTTTGTGGAAATTGCCAAAAGGCCCAAGCTCGTCTTGGAAAATGACATTCTTTGCATACAGACATCTCCCGGTGTCTACCCCGCGACATATCAAATCGCGATTTCGCTTAAGGTCAGACTGCAGAAAGGAAAATCGAAGGATTGGTGGGAGTTGGTTGTTAGTGGGCTGCCTCGACTCGCCCAATTTGAGTCTTGTTATCTCTACTTTCGAACACCCCCGGGCCAGGGAATGGAATTCATGACTTCATCTTTCAAACGACATACACTCGTGGAAAGTTGCTTGATGGCCCAGTTTGACGGTGGGAAAAGCCTCGTGATTTCGTTTCGTAAGTGCAATGCACAATTCTACGGGCCACTTAAGGACCATAAAGTCAATGCAGTCATACAAGCTGAGGTGGAGGAGGCTGATCCGTCGTCCTACTTGGTCAAATACAACGCTGTTTGTGCCATTGATCTCATCAATCACAACTTCTGGGCTGAGAAGTGCAAATTTTCCCTTATTGTACATGGCGGCCCGGAAGGCGAGTTCGAGGCCAATTTTGAAGCTCAGAAACCAGTGATCAACGGTATTCGACTCCAGCCGGCATCGGAACCAACATCAGATGTATATGGAATTGGACTCTCGCGCATCAATATCATCAGCACCCCTCAAGCTCTGGATATGTTCACGGTGTCATGGGAAGTCAAATTGCCACGAGAAAAGGCTCTCACCTGGTTGCCATGGATTAAGACCAGGCACAGTGATATTGAAACCGTTCTCTTAGAAGATTACGCCGCCTGTGGCCCCAGGCATGAATATTTCTCTCCAATGCGCCAGACTGGTCATACTAGGTGCCAATCTCCATGTTGTCTGGAAGCTGGGCTTAACCATTTTCAGCCATCAGTTGAGAAAACTCCACATCTCCATGATGGGACCGGCATTCACGAGCCTGGAGTGTTGAATCCATTTTACAAGGATCCAGCTTCGTATCTCCAATATGAAGATCTTCTGGGGTCTGAACTGACTGGGTCTCTATCCCGCAAAACGCAAGCTTTCAAGTCTACAAGTATACAAACCTTCGTTGAGGAGATTCCGGCCCCCAAGTCTGTAAATACCGAGGCTCCAGTCGCCCGGTCAGAGCCAAAGAAGCCACGCCGTGCTGTGCGTGGACTGTGGACTCTGATCAAAGTCATTTTCAACCTCTGTGCGTTCATGGCCTCTGTTCACACCCTCTACTGGTCACACTTGCTGCAGAATTGCGGGTTCCGTTTTGACTCCGTTGCTCTGCACACTTCGTGCCCCCAAAACGAAGTGTATGTCTATACGGACTACGTAGAGAATTACACCAATGCTGATGCTGAGATTGAGGCGAACGAGGCCCTGGAGGAGTTTGACCTTCGGCCCGCGCTGCGTCGACCTGAATTTCAGCACACACCTGCCGAAATTACCCCAGTGCCCCTGAGAGACCGCATCGATTATCTTCTCGGGTGGCGAGGACCAATTGCACGGGAGTAAATCTTTGACAATGGGGATAGCTCAGTATCTTTATGAAGGGAGATGACCGGGACGTGGATGAGAAACAGCAGCATTGAAGACATCCATGCAGTTAGCAGATCGCAAACATAGAAGACAAACATCTATTGCTTAAGCTCTATTGATACCTTGTCTCCTCCACCATTTAGATCATATATATGCTATTCTACCAAAGTTCGATCCAAATAGTATCTCAGAATTAAGTCAACAGCCCACTTCAGAATAACATCCATCCCTGCACTCCCCCAGCCCGGTGCAACCTCAACTCCAACATCAGTCCTTACTCTAGTCCCATCCCCAACCCTGCGAACTAGATCAGCCTCCCCCAAAGCCTGGTGCCCCTTCATATCATCACCTTCACCCTCAGTAGTCAACAACCAAGCATGATCCGTCACATAGCGCGGCCAAACAACATCATCCACATACCCAGGCGGGTCGACCCAGAAATTCTGCGGTGGACGATCATCCTCAGCATTGAGATCAACCTCCATCCCCGTCTCCCCATGTCCCCCCTCCCCAGTACTCTCTACTGGCGGTTCCGGCGCCGCCCCAACAGTGACATACCCACTCCTCCCCTCCCGTCTAGCCTTCACAAGCTCATACGCCGCAGGCAGGAATAAATGAAGATCTATAGCATCATGAACAGAACGGAGAACATGTTCCTCTTTCTCAGATTCAGACCTAGGAGGCGCGAACAGCAAAAACCCCTCTAAGAACGCAATCGTCTTCTCTTTGCGTTTCCCCGTCTTGTCCAATAATCGGGAACCAACAACACCCCGCAACTCCTGCACTAGCTCGTCCGACACGCCCGAAGAGGTCTGATCATTCTGGTCTTCCTTGCTGCGCAGTCGTGGTGGGAGGGTGCCTTTGTCGCGCACGTAGCGCAGTGCTTGCGAGAGGAAGGGGATGTCGATTGCGGCGGCTGTGTCCCAGTCTTGGATTTTGGCGCCAGAGCGGGTTGTTGTATAGGGGATTCTGGGGTTGTTAGTATGTAATATTGGTGTGAATGTGTAGAGGTTGTATGGGATGCAAGTCATGAGGTGTACGCACTTATCGTCTGGGAAATAGAAGTCATCTTCGTGGATTATGAACGTATTTAGACATTGGTCTTTTGGGTTGAGATTCACCCCGTAGAATACCCGCTGCAGTAAGCGTGCGAGGGTTGTCTTGCCACTGCTCGAGGGACCGGAGATCCCTATAATCAAGGCTTCATGAGACTTCATGGTCAATTGGAAATTTGGAGAATTGAAAGCTCAAGTGGGGTGTGGGGGGATTAGAAGCAGATTTGCTAAGCCTAATTGGGGTTAGTGCACATGTATGTCATCCACATGGATATCCATGCTTCCTTCGACTCTCTTTGCCTTTCTCTTTGGAACAATTTGTTGTGGTGTTCAATTATAATCTAGCAGGCGGGAAATGTGTCTAAATGGTCTACATCTAGAGTCAATGGTACACACATTCCGTTATCCAATGGTGTCTAGAGCTTTATGTTCGTAACTGCAGATATATATCACACGAATGGCCCAAACAACGAAACTCGTTGGTCAACACCACCTCCAGGAAAATCAGACAAGTGCGTCGGCACAGATTGCAATGGGCCAGATTCATCATCATCATCGTTAATAAAAATCGCACTCTCCGCCAAACCAGTCCGCGAAGGCCCAGACACAGAAACCCCAGCACCAGAAGTCGAATTCGACCTGGGCACAGCCTGCTGCGGCCCAGGTGGCGAAACCACGGCACCCTCACTCCTAACCTGATGAGGCCTCAAAAAGACAATCCGTCGCCGCTGGTCTGATGGCCCCTGGATACCAGCCGAATCAGAATTGGCATCTGCATCCGATTCCGGACCCGACCGCTGTCTCTTTTTCCGCTGTCCCCGCTGCCGCAAAGGCACGCGCACAGGGTCTGTCTCATCATCGGGAATCGGCAATTGATGTTGATCAAATAGCCCAATCGGATGTGTCAGCGGAGCCATGCTGGCCGAAGCCTCGTCGAGCATAGGCAGGAAGGGCTCATTCTTTATAATATCGCTCATGGTACTATCTTTCAGCGGGTTATCTCCTGCGTGCTTCGTCTCCTCGGCGGTCATGTTTTTGCTGCGATTGAGCATCCGATGTTCGAGGGTATCGCCTAGGACGAGGGTCTCGACGTAGACAGGTCTTTTCTGTCCGATTCTGTGGGCTCGTTTGATGGCTTGGCTCTCCACATTACGTTCCCAGATTGGGTTGACGATATACATCCGTGAGGCTTCGGGAATGTGGAGACCGTGCGAGGCTTCTTTGACGCTCATCAGCAGGACACGGACCTCTTCGGTTTGACGGAAACTGTTCAAATGTTCGGTTTTGAGATTGGATCCCATGCTTGAGGTACTGGCGTAGGTGCGGAAGTTGACTGCTATTAGATCCAGGCCTTGCTCGACCCAGGAAGCGACGTTGTCATGCTCATAGAAGATGATGATCTTCTCGATCTTCTGGAACTTTAGCACTTGCTCCAACAGGTATCGAAGCTTGGCCGATGTGACTCCTTCCAGTTTTGTTTGTCTCAAGGGCGAAGTCTCTGGAAGGGTGCGGAAGATGTTCTTCGTGAAAGTATGCTCTTTCCTTTTCCTTTTCGAGCTTGATGGGCTTGCAGTGGAACTTGCCGATTCGGGGGCACCACTGTGAGGAAGAGTAGCTATCTGGCTGTGTTTGACTAGCTCTCGGCGAACTTTGATCCCCTCTCCTGCGATACCTTCGGCGGGATCAAGTGTGCGGAGATGGTTCATCACAAATTGTTGCGCGCGACGCGCCTGTGTCATACCCATGAGTAGAGGCTCGTGGTCAGCGTCAAGGGGATCAAGGGCCCACATGTTGCGAGCATGCTCTGGGAAATGCCGAACAAAGACTCCCATCTCATGCATTTTCTTGAATCCATTCCAGCCGGGGGAGGCAATTGCCTTTCGTGCGATCTGGATTCCATGTCTTAATTGATTGAAATCTGCCACTGTCATCTTCTCTTGGTTCTCCTCTAGATATTCAAGAGCAATGTCAACAGTACTCTGGACATCATCAGAGCCAGCCCACCAGAATCCAGCCAGACGTAAGTTTTGTATCAACTCAGTGAGTTTAGACTTGCTGTCTTTGTTATCACCAAACATATAGTCGGGACCTTCACGTTCAGATGTAATGGCGTTGACAGCGAGTGTGAAAAGGAATATGTTGATATATAGCCGGTCGTAGAAGGTTGGCTCAAGGTATACCACTTTGTTATACAGTGGTGGAAGAGTGATCTCTTGTTTGACCGTTTCGTACGGGTGCCGCACAACAAGACTTTGAAGGGTCGCGCGTAGAGAGGGAGATTTTCGAGGAATTCTATCTTCACCCACCGTTCTTGTGTAAGTATCCCACTCCGATTTCCAATCCTTATTGCGATTGTTGGACCAAGGCTTTAGATCGAGGAAATCATGAGCCATCAAGCCTAATTTATCCAAATCTTTGATTTCATGCTTTAGGGCACCGCCTGCGTTTCTGGCTCTCTGCAAGATGGCGCGACCGTCGAGCGACGATTCGGTATCATCTGTGTTTACTTCCTGTGAAGCAATGCTGAGTTCCACTCCATACAATTCCGAGAGGGGGTTCCCGAAATGATCCAGCGGCGCTCAAAGTGTAGCTTTTTTAGCAAGTCGACCATTTCTGTTGTTCTGCCGGCAAGGTCATGTCCTTCATCAACAATGACTCGCAACCAGTGAAGATCGACAATAGGATAATGTCCAGATTTGCCTATTTTTGGGTTCTCTCTGTTGCATCGGCCTTTGGAGAAGAGCACAATATCGAAGTCTAAAAGTTCGTCCGTCGACGGTGTTTTGTCCTTATTTCGCAGAACTAGGACCCTCAAATCGCTAGTGTGAGTAGCGATCTCATGTTCCCAGTGGTCCACCAAGTTTTCCGGGACAATAACGAGTGTACCAGAACAGAGACGAATTTCCCTTGCCGACTGGGCATACTTTGATTCACGCTTTTGACGTTCATTTGGGGCCGGTATAATATAGGAGCCACTGTCGCTCATGCAGGCCTCTATACAGTTAATATGATGTTTCCCCTTGTCCTTCTCTCGGTCAAAGAAGTCCTTCCAGGGCAAGGAAAAACGACCAGCAGCAGAAGCGGCCATTTTCATTAATGTTCCAGTCTTGTTCCTGACGGGATTATTGAGTGTTTGATACTCCACCGGGATTTTAGGAAAACTTCCTCGTGTAGCTAATATCACTGCAAGGCTGATGAGGGTCTTCCCGCATCCCATGGACTCTGCCAAAATTCCTAGTAACAGTCAGAATATTTCACCAAGGTAGCGTGCCCCAATGTTCATTGCGAACATTAGCAGTGAATATATGACCACTCACCTCCACAGGCCTCGGGATACAATATTTTGTTTCTCACGATTCTCCCCTTCACCTTATCAAAATAGAACTCCAACCCAGTCGGACCCCGCCAATGCTGGAATCTCGGATCAAGAGCTAGCGCTGGTTGTGTCTCCCGCTGAACCATCGCAGCAGCAGATTCACGCTGAAAGTCATACAGCGTCGTTTCAAGACCTCGAACAGAATCATCAAGCAATTCCCTCATAACATTTCGCGAGTTGGGATCTTTTACAAGGTTCAAGTCTGCTTTGGGTTGTTGCAGCGTATTGTATATATAATATAAAGATTCTTCTTCTTCGCTATCGGGTTGAGGGTTGATCAGCAGAGAAGCATTGGCAGGAATCACGCCATACCATGCTTCGGCGGACCGGTCAATCTTAGACATGACGCGTTTGAGAGCGGATATGAGCTTGACCTTTGACTTCAAGTGGGTCCGCTGCGCGTCTGGTAGCACGAAAATCTGTACATTGTCGCTGTTGTTGAGAGCGCGTGTGCGAATCCATTCGTCTTTTTCTAGTATCTCTACATCGGAGTCCGGGAAACGGGGCATGAGGGCGGAGTTTCCCAAAACACCGGCTGGGATATAATGATCGATGAGATTATCCATTGCCTCTGGGGCGTGGGAGTCAAGAGGCTCGTTTGCCACTGGGTTGGAAAGGTTGAGATGCCCATCTATCGCTACTGTAATGTGGGAATCAATATTTTCATCTGTCAACTCTGTGATGTGGGAGTCGAGAAGCCCATCCGTCGCCTCTGGGACGAAAGGGTTGAGAGGCTCATCCATTGCCTCTGGCTCTTCAAGCTTCCCATTATGCTGAGGCCTGGGCGGGGCAACGGGAAATCGTGGAAGCCCCGATGGAAAGTCGCTCACAAGTATTGGTAGCCTGTTCGAGTTACCACAAGCGCATTGAGTGAGCTCCGGCATGGTGAATACTTGCAAGAAGAACGAGAAGACAAATGGAATCAGAAGATACACTAGATTGGCAGAAAGGGCGACCGCTTTTGATAAGCGGCTCTGCAATGTCGGGTTGGATGTGGATCTAGGGGGTCCAAGCGCCCACGGGTCGGCTTTTTAGGACAACGTCCCCTTCTCGATACGGAGCGCGTTTACATCTCGATTGTTGGATTAACATCATTACAGAGTCTCCACTATTAATATTATTAATTAAAAGTAGGATGAACCATCAACAATTTACCACGATCTAGTCTATCCGCGCCCCAATCAATGAACCCATGAATCGTTGAATGCACAAAATTCCCATCCAACGGTCTAGCCTCAGGCAGGCTTGAGCTTGAGCTTACTGAGTCAAAAAGTCCTCAATCTCAAAACCCATCCGCTTAAGGGCTTTTTCTTCTAAATCCCGCCCAACAACCTTCCTTAGCACGACCGTGCGTGCATCCTGTAGCCGCACCTCAACAGGATTCCCACCCATGCGGTCCAGCTCCTCCTTACTGCATTCACGAATGTAAACTGTGATATCGGGGCCCACACAGGCACGCCACAGTGATGCCATCCACTGCCAGTGATCGAGCGGCGCGTAGGAGTCGCCGATGGGCGTGGAGCAGGCGAATGCGTCTGCCGTGGTGAGTTGGTAGCGCGGGACGAGCGCGATCGGCACGACATAGTGACTGCCTGTTGTGATGGCGCTGACCTCGGAGCCGTTCTCGCTTGACTGGGCTGGGGAGTGGATTTGCATGCTTGCGGTCTTGGGGATGAGGGTACGGGGGGAGACATTTGGGGCGGTGGTTTCTTCGTCTGTTGTTGTGGAGCGAGCGTCGACGGAGCCAGCTCTTGAGGTTGATTTCACAAAGTTGACGACTTCGTCAGAGATCCGGTGCCAGGCTGAGATGGTGTTGAGGTAGTCGACTGTGGCGTCGCCCATTTGGCCTACTTCTGTGGAGGTGGGTCGGGGTGGCTTGATTTCTGGACCGTCAAATACCCGTACATTGTACTTTGTTTCCTTTTTAAGAAGATTGTTGAGGTATTCGACGGCTGCTTGGACGAGGTCGGGGTCTTGGCCGTCGACGGCGATGACGGGGCCGCGGGCTGGGGGGATGCCGTCGCGGAATGAGGGGAGGAGTGGCGGGGAAATCTTGGCAAGGACTTTGATCTTATTGAGGAAGGGGATTGTCATGACTTTTGCTTCGACACTGGTTCCTTCTTGTGAATAGGGAGTCATGGGAGTCATTGGTGTTGTCTGGAGTGGCGGTAGCTTCAGACTGGGATCGGGATGTGGCTGTCCCGGTACACTTTGATATGGGCGTTGTGGTTGAAGCATGAGGAGATGGCGTGGCGGCATATCAGGGCGAGCACTCCAAGGGGACATCGGGTGCGGTGACTCCGGTATGCTACTACCAGGACTGCGGTCCCGGTAGGAGGGGTGTAACGTCGGCTTGAATGAGCCGTGGGATACTCGGCGCCGTTTATTATCAGGAGATCGACCACCGGAATCCTCCCAGTGTCTTTGGCGAGAACGGGGATCATGGTCCACCTTTGCCGACTTTGGTACTGGATTGGGATCCTTTTCACGGACTTGAACGCTTCTTGGCGGCATTCCATTTGGGTGTGGTGATGATACTGAGAAATTTGATGGTGGCCGATACCCAGGCCCACTACTGGGTGTGAACGGGGTCATAGGGGAAGCGGGTGCATTCATCAGTCGGCCACCACATCTGTTGCAATGTGATGATCCAGATGGATTGTGCCCAATACCAGAGGCTGCACTTCGGGCGCTTCCATCCCGACCATACCGCCGAGGCTGGTAGCGGTAGTCAGGGTATTGTTGCTGGTGCCGAGCTTTTTCTTCCTGGCGTAATTGTCAGCATTCTGAAATCACCTTACTAGAGAGTTTGGTCCTACCTCTGCAAGTGCCTTCCATTTACTCTTATCATCCTCCGAAAGTGATCTCCACTGTTCTCCAATAATTTTGGAGATCTCGGGATTGGCCAAGCCAGGGTTATGAGCGACCACCATGGCCTGATAATGCTGACGATATAGAATAAAAGCTAAACGAAAAAAATTAGTCATGTCCATGAGTTCCGAAAGATCAGATCTGGCTAATGATGACCAAAAAAGAAACAATCGAAAAAGCACTTGCCAAGCTCTAGTGACGGTGCGGACAGTCTCGACTCACCATTACGAGGCCGGGGAATTTTCGGATCCGGTTGACAGAGGCAAAACTGCATGGCACTCTCTTTCTGTGATTTGACGGGACTGGTACTGCTAGCTGACGAAGATGATGATCGGTCTGATCTTTCCCGCATGGGCAATTCCTTGGTGGAGATGATGGGGCCGACAGGTTTGAGAGAACCATTTGACATCTTGTGTGCCTCTTTGGATGCAGTTAGGGAGATATGTTGATGTGTTTGCAGTACCCCGGTCGATCGAGGATCTTGATATCTGACGGAAGTGCCAACTGGACCATCCGGGTGTCTCATGGCCATGCCTGACTTGGACAATTCTTCGTTCATGATTTTGTGGTCGAGTAAATTGCTCGGTCTAGGCAAAGTGACTTGGGCAGACTCATAGCGTAGAGCAACAGGGTTAGGGAGAACTCGATCGTAAGACATTTAATACTTTTTAATGAAAGGGTGTCGAAGGCGAAGTCTGGATCAAAGGAATAGGGCGACAAGGGAAAGGTAAGAAAGTATAACCCTTTGAAAGAGGCAGAAGTGAATAGGTTTGGGGGGGCGACTGGGCCCCAAGAAATAAGAAAGAAAGAGAGGGGCTAGCGAAAAACAAAGAAAATGAATCCAAAAGGAAAATAGAGCAATAATAAGAATTGATTGAAAGACTGGGGGAATATCAGGGATCAGACAAAGCGAAGTATAGCGTTTGGACCGAAAAGCCCTAAAAAGCGCGGGTTTCTTTGTCCTGGGTTGGTTTTCCTCCCCGGAATCCCTGTCTAGCGGCTTATTCTTTGACAATAGTTCCAGATTGCCCTTGATGGTTTGAGCCGAGAAATTAATTAATGGAAAAAAAAAAAAGAAAAACACGTCTAGGAATCAAGTGGTTTTTTTATTACTCGGGAATATGAAGTCTAGATGAAATTTCAACTTATACTCCCAACGACACGGTGCCCTTCAGATATGAATCTCAACCAAAGTACAACCCCCAAAATATGAGGTGTCCAAAAAAAAAAAGTCCCCTAATTTCTAAATCTCTAGGGCCAAGGCACTAGAGTCATTGTTTTCTTTGTCTCCGGATGCGGCGACCCGCTTAAGCCTGTCCAACTATATCGCTTATATTGGTCGGATTTTAGTGAATCGGTTCCCCGTCAAATCAGACATGGACAAACACGTTAGACAATTTCTAGACTAGGCATTGTCTAGTGTATTTTTTTTTTCTGAATATCTGATAATTATAATCACACTACAATAAAAATACTCCGTACACGATTTCAAATCAAGATCTAGGATGATCTCATTGTCGATCTCCACTATGCGTTACAGTGACTTGGAACAATACCACCTTTTCCCGATTTCCTAGATATTGTCTCGGGTAATAGATTGTCTGGACCTTTCTCTGCAAGTTCCAGTTAGACATACTACCCTGCCCTTGAAGATCCACCTTTGAACACTGGAAATTGGGCACTTCTCACCCGCATCAAGTATAGGGCGTTTGACAGTCGGGTACTGACATTACTATAGACCCCTCCCTTTTGGAGACGTCATATTTGTCAATTTTTTTTCTCTTTCATCTCTTTTGAAGAATGGCGTCTCATTGAGGACAATGTCTAAGCTGGAAACCCCCGGCTGTGGCGCTTTGATGACACTCCCTTGGGGTTCAGTAGAATCCCATCAATTCCATGGTAGATCTCCATAGCCATAAGCCGATGAGCTGAAGGACCTAGATTCATTTCGTTCCTGGATATCAACCATGTCTCGATCAGCAAAAAAAGGCATTTTAACTCGTCGATCTCTCTTTCCTCCCCTCGATCCTGAAAAAGTGGCAAAGGAATGACGAGGAAGAAGAAAAGAACTTACCAGAACAGATACTTGTCTGGATGCTCACACTGTTCCTTCTCCTTTGACATCATGACCCGGAACCCACTCTCAACACAGGGCTCCTCGACATTTTCCCACCCATCCAAGTTCTTCCCTAGACCATTCTCCTCCTCGATGCCCGCCGCATAGAGCTGCCAGTCACGGATCCGGTCCATCATAAAAGCATTAGTATCAAAGAGATAGACAGTGCCATGACTCCACTCCCTAACCATCTCACGCAACTGCCCATTCCACTCTTCCAGGATCCGCACTGTATCCTTGTACTGATCACCAGCGAACTGAAACCCGGGCAGGAAAGTCACGTCAATCGTCTGCGTCAGAATGAGTTTCAGCTCCGTTGTGCCCAATTTCTCGGACAACGTGTCGAGTTGACCCATAAGCGTTGCAATACGCCGCTCAACTGATTTGCTCGCTGCGTCGTAGTCCTTCGTAATTAGGCTCCAGATATCCCAGACCCCAAAAGAGATAACAAAGATTGTGCGGTCCTGGCGGGACCGGACCGCTTTCTCAGAGAAATCCTTCGTTGCAGCTGACTCGGCAACTAGCCATTGCTGGAGCTGGGACTTCAAATCTGCGGTGTAGGTCTGAGACCCTCGGCCTAGTAGATCGAGTTCTTTGTTGTCGACCACTGCGCCGATATTCTTGCCTTTTAGAAGTGGATTCGTTGTCTGTGCTAAGTTCTCTTGGTGACAGGAGAGCTACTCGTGTTCCAGATTGTTTCAGTCAGATATGATGCTTGTGTTTCCGCTTCTGATTTTTTCCCGGGCGTTGTCATACCATTGAACAGAGCCAGTCCGTCCATAGTTTGCCCTGTGGCTCGCTGGATTGATTACCGCTCCATGAATCCCCAAAGACGACTAATCGCTGGTCAAATGTACTGGCTACCTGGAACGGGTCTGATACCAAAGGGGTGATATCGGGAACAGTCCGTGACTTCAAAAACCATGCTGATATGAAAATCGTGCAGACCGCGATAGCAGACAGTGCATAGAAACGGTTAAAAAGACGAATCATGGCGACCGTACGGCCAGGTTTTAGGATAGACCCAGTTGGGCAGTGTCGAGTTCGGATCACAGGTCTTCTGCTTGTTTCGGATTTTTTGGAAAGAAAAGTCGCCACAAATGACTCCGATGGCGAAGTGTAAGTCGTCGGACTATGCTCCCAGCAATGACAATGCAACGCAATACAATGAAGACAACCGTCGCTCAAATTCTGCGGGAACCACAAGATCATCCAACTCTGCAGAAATTGGCAACGAGGGAATCTCCACTCGGACAAGAAACCGGCAAGTTCGGATGTGTGGCGGTTTCTCCAGAAACGCTATAGGAGAATGTAAAAAGATAGAAGTGAGATAAAATAATCAGAACGATAGGCTAGAGCCACAATACACGAGAATTAGTACCGAAAAAGGCTAAAATCTCTATATTCGACGTGAATTCGTCACAATTGTAGATTGGCCGCGTGGCTCGGCAAGGGCCGAGTAGAGTATCAACTGGGCAAATTAGTCGTCAAATCTATTTTCTTCTTACATGGTCTGGGCCACAATTGCTTGATCTGGTCTTTTCGGTATCTAAGCCTCTTGATATTTAGGTTCTCCTGTTCTTTTCCCAAGTCCGAATAGTGGACCAGTCTGCTTGCATCACATATGAAGCCCATCGTACAAGGCCACGTCCAGTGGCATGCTGTTTTGCATTGTCTCAGAAAGTTGGTATGATCTTGGCCAATTGGCCGTCTGACATGCAAATTGTTTCTCGATACTATAGACGTGCCAAGACATTATATACTGCAGATCTTCAGAGCGGAGTACGGAGCACTGTGAGACACAATGCTTCTATTGGGGAATAGATGGACAAGAATAAAGTATGGGGAAATGATGTGGATTGAGGAACTAATCATTTTCATCTTTTTGGCTACAGCACCAAGAAAGTCATAGGCATCTAGAAAAGATACTCAAGGAACCTCCCCCCATCGTAGCGTTGTCTTGTGTACCTTCAAAGGCCCTTGAGACTATTGAGCCAAATAGATCGAATTTCTTCAACCCTACCTAAAATGTAAGAAACAGATCACGTAAGCGGCTGACGATTCTTATACATAATATGTATCTGAAATGGTCCTGCAATTAGCCAATCAATATTTGTCGTCCCTGAGTTTTCTACTCTGAACCCCAATTCCATATATCATTGTGAGATATTGAGTCAAAGGGTTGTTTGCATATATGGTACCGCGTCAATGATCCAGGCATTCCGGCGTTTGCAGGGTCTGACAAGCCAATGGTTCACATCATGGTCGGGTGCAGAAATAGATATAGTTAGTGGAGCCTATTCATTTGAAATTGTCGTACGAGTCTCGTGGTGGCTGTCAATGAGTCGCTTTGTGAGACCGTGTTCAGTCTTGATATATCAGAAAGTTGGAGTTCGGCCGGTCGGGGCTGAATCATGACCCGAAACATTCATTCATCATTCCGTTGGCAATTCCAGGTCGGTTATATTCAAAATTCGCATTGGGGGGTCTCACGTCTGAGTAAAAGGACACTGTTGGTTCATGGCGGAGAGAAACTTGTAATTGTTGGCGGTCCTAGATACGTCCTGTCTCTTGTATGCATGGTTGGCGGGGGCAAGATGCGTGTTCATCGTTGAAGATACTGCTGTTTTGGCGTTTCCGGCGCCATGCCGACACCTACACCACAACGTTCTGGAGGAACATGACTGACTTGATAGACGAAGAAAAGAAAATGCCTGGGTGCAGAGGCCAGGTCACATGACTAGCCACATGACGCTAAACCCCATCTAGCGGACTCAAGCCCTACTTCCCACACGTGACACGTGACTTGCACCTCGCTAAGCCGGCGAACTAAAAAATCCACAATACAGACTCCTTCGACGACAATCTCACAAATCGACAACACACGCGCTACCGTCTTGACCGCGCCGCCTCCGTCAAGATGAAGCTCAACATCTCCTACCCGGCCAATGGGTCCCAGAAAATCATCGAGATCGACGATGAGCGCAAGCTGCGTCCCTTCATGGAGAAGCGCATGGGCACCGAAGTCAGCACTCCCTTGAACCTCATCCTTCCCCGACTGTCCGACAAACATATCGACCAACATACACATACACACACATACGACTATGGAGAACGACTGGCTAATTAGGATTTCTTTGATTAGGTTGCCGGCGATGCTCTCGGTGACGAGTTCAGCGGTTACGTGTTCAAGATCACCGGTGGTAACGACAAGCAGGGTACGCATATCAATTCCCTCTATTTCTAGTGTCGGGAGAAAGAACTCGATGATGGAAAATGGAACCCAATGTCATAATGAGATCTACGATGCTGACGATTTTTTTTGCAGGTTTCCCCATGAAGCAGGGTGGTACGTACACATCCGCACAACAACCTGGGGAATGAACAAGAAAAAAAAATTATATTCAACCCCAGGGATACAACCATCCAGCCGCAGGATACTTATCGAATTATTTCTACAGTTCTCCTCCCCACCCGTACCCGTCTGCTCCTCGCCGACGGCCACAGCTGCTACCGCCCCCGCCGCACCGGTGAGCGCAAGCGCAAGTCCGTCCGCGGTGCCATCACCGGTCTGGACCTTGCCGTCCTTGCTCTGTCTATCGTCAAGCAGGGCGAGGGTGAGCTCCCCGGTCTCACCGATACCGTTGTCCCCAAGCGTCTCGGCCCCAAGCGTGCCACCAAGATCCGTCGCTTCTTCGGTCTCGACAAGAAGGACGACGTCCGCAAGTTCGTCATCCGCCGCACCGTCACCAAGGAGGGCAAGAAGGATTACACCAAGGCCCCCAAGATCCAGCGTCTGGTTACCCCCCAGCGTCTCCAGCGCAAGCGCCAACGTGTTGCCATCAAGCGCCGCCGTGCTGAGACTGCCCGCGATGCTGCGTAAGACCCCCCATCTTTTTGCTTGTGTGCTCCGATGAATGTTCTACGAGTGCATTGGTGTGTTTTTCTAAGAGAACATCTGAACTAACGGTTACATAGTAACGACTACGCCAAGCTCCTTGCCGGCCGTGTCCACGAGGAGAAGGCTAAGCGTGATGAGCTCCGCAAGCGGAGGGCTTCCTCCATGCGGAAGTAAACTTCCAGACCCGCGGTTTTATGATTTCGTTCTGCGGCGATGGGGTTTAATGGAGGAGCTTCACGTCTCTGGGATGATTTGAGGGGAATTCACAAAAAATGAATCACTCTCAGGGGCGCGGAGGATACATGTCTGATAAAAAGAAAAGGGAACAAGAAAAGAGACGGGGAACAGGTTTCAAAACGTACAAAGCAGGCTGAGTGGTTGATAACTCCATCTGTGTTGAGCCTACCTTTTTTTGACGACCCTTTTTTTTGAATGGAGTGCATGCAAATTTCAATACTCAGTTCTGTCAATTGCTCAAGGCTTTTTCAAGGAGTAGGCGTAGTTATATTGGGTATGGAGTAGTCTATTGTATCTCGCCTTGTTTCCCTTTATGTGGAATAATCTACTCCACTTGAACTCACTTATATATATACGGAGTACGGAGTACCCTAGTCATAATATCCATACTAGTATTGCCTTAAATTCCTGCTAGTATGTAGGTCACGTGCTCATACAGGCACTCGGGATGATGTTTTTAGGGCATGACTGCATATTGCGGTCAATAGCACATAAGGGGATAACTATGTTGTACAAGGAAGTCCCCGATCGGATGTGTTCCCGGTCATGATATCCCTTGTAACCAGGTAAGAGCTAGTATGGCCATCAAAGCCATGGCTATACGGCTCTGTTACAGTCCATGTCGTTGGCTTGGTGGCTGTGTAACCTGGTTGCTTCCCTTCTGTCCGCCCCATCTTGATGGCTAGTACCCAAGCCACATGAGTTCTACTATAAATCTGCATACTGCTGTGAGACCACAGTAATGTATCAATCTAAAACAGCCAAAGCAACACATTTATAGCAGCACTTCCACAGAAAAACACCATGTCTAATTGAATGTTGTAAGGCGGTCCCGAGACCTTGAAATAATCTAAATCAAATAGCAAGTACTCTGCATATGAAGAGCGCATGCACGATGCAACCGAACCCAGCCAAGGATAACCAACTTCCGCCAGAGAGAACTGCGTAAGTGCCAACATTTAAACGTCGGTCTCTCTCTTAAAGAAAAGAAGAAAAAAAAAAAAAACATAGAAAACAATAATAAAACACCCGGGGACTAACATCCTCGTCCGGCTAATAAAAAGGGTCATAAAAATCGTATTTTTGTTTCCCGCTCACTCCACGGTTTCGCAATCACACTCGTAGGTAATCACTTGGACAATCCATAGATTGAATCCTCTGTCTGATGTATTCATTTCTGCCTCTGATTTATCCCACAGTGTGCGAGAACAAGAAGCTAACAGACTCGCCGTTGTGTGTACGACGGCATGCCTCTGCCAATGTAGGGCTGATATCGATCGTATGGATCTTGTCACACTGCTCTTGCTTGTCGCCCAGTGGAACGGTGTTGCTGACAATAATGCTGCGAGGAGAGGGTTAGTTGAAAGTGAACCTGTCGCTAATATTCGGGTGTATACATACCGCTTGAGGCAGCTACCGTTCAAGTTCTCGATTGCCTTTCCGGACAAAATACCGTGTACAACGATGGCGTTGACTTCGGTGGCACCGTGCTGCATGACAGTTTCGGCAGCCTTGGCGAGCGTGCCACATGTGTCGGCCATGTCGTCGACGATGATAGCGACCTTGTCTTTGACATTGCCGACAAGAACCATGCGCGAAACCTCGTTGGGACGGGCACGTTCCTTGTGAATAAGCGCGAATTGCAAATCCAGGCGATCAGCAATGGCAGTAGCACTAACAGTAATCCAAATTAGCCTTCTTATATTCCCCCGCTATAGTATGTGTAGTATCGAAGTAGAAACAACTCACCGCTTAGCACCACCAGCATCGGGGCTGACAATGACACAGTTGCTGACATCGAGGTTCTCACGGATGTACTTCAGCATGCTGGGCTCCGCGTACAGGTTGTCGACGGGAACGTTGAAGAAGCCCTGGATCTGGCTAGCGTGCAGGTCCATGGTGATGACGTGGTTGCAGCCGGCGGTCTGGAGCATGTTCGCCATCAGCTTGGCAGTGATGGGAGCACGGCTCTTGTCCTTCTTATCTTGGCGGGCATAAGGGAAGTTGGGGATGACGGCTGTGATGCGGCGGGCCGAGGCTGTCTTGCAAGCGTTGATCATGATCAAGAGCTCCATGAGTCCATCGTTAATATCATTGGGTTTCGTCGATTGGAGAATGAAGACTGCAACAAGTCATATATATGAGTGGGGGTTCTTGATATCATGATTAGAGTGGGATGCACGTACCATCTTCATCCCGCACGCTCTCTCCGATCGTGACACTGGTTTCTTGGTTGGAGTATTGCAGGACCATGATCTTGGTCAACTCAATGCCGAGTCTAATTCATAGCGTTCTAATTAGTCGATTGTCCAGTCTTAACCTCGTCAGTTGCACATACCGGTCAGCAACCAGGTTGGCGAGTTCCGGGTGACTGTTGCCAGTCAAGAGCTTGATAGAGTTGGCCGACATGATGAAGGGCTTTTGAAATAGTAACGAGAGAGGGATTCAATCCAAAGGAGCTCAAAACACACTCTTCTCCAAGATGACCGTGTTCGGCTCAAAAATCGTTTTCCTCCGCGGCCCCGCATGTCTTTTTTTTCGATGCAGTCCCGTGACAGGCTCACCGCTTGATGAGATAAGCCCCTCTGCCAACCTTGGAAGTCCTCTCGGAGTACGGAGTACGGAGTATGAAGTTCTACAACATTATACAAAAATACGCATCAGGTTTGAAAGGGGAAAAATAAATGCGGCAATCTAAGTACATAAAGAGGACTCTAGAGAGAACACGGTTGACCTGCACTTCAACCGAATCCCTTGCCAGGCGCCTCAGTTTTCATCTTCTCGTAAAGAAACTTCTCGCTGGCCTATGCCAGCCTTCCATCATCTCCTCGTTCGTCCCCGATAAAAAGAAAATCCCGTAAGAATCGAGAAAAACGCCATACGATGCTTTTGACTTGATGGAACCATACCCATGCCGTAGAAAAGGACAACAATCTAGGCAAACCCGAAGTACTCACTGCCAGTCGTGACAGCTGTGTAAAGGCGTTGACGGAGGTCTTCGTAGCTTTCATACTCAGGAAGATCAAGCTCTGTTGTGGATAGTTAGTAATTTGCGCTAATGCAGCGAAGAGACCGGGGTAAAGACTTACGGTTGAAACAGGTATGCGAGCTGGGAAGGCGATCCTTATGGCCATAGTCGCGATGGATGTTGAACTTGCTCACACCGTTCATACCCTCAAGCTCCTTAAAGCCATTGAGAGGAACCTTACTGGTTCCAGTGACGAACTGCAAAAGCTTGGCACGCTCCTCCTTGTCGAATGAACGGACGGCACGCCAGAACCACTGGATCTGCGAGGAAGACGCGGAGTAGTTGTGATATTCGGTGTTGTTCTTCCACTCGTCCACGTCGATCTCAGGAAGACCAGAAATCAAAAGTTCCAGCTCTTGCTCGTTGAAAATGGAGATCAACTCGGGAGGGATGATTTCATGGAAGCCCTTGAGGAAGTTATCTAGTTGCTCGCGAACCGATTCCACGAGGCGATATTCGACTACGCGCTGAACGTACTCCTCCTTGTTCTCCTGTGTAACGGGGATGTCGCGACCACCGGGCTTCAGGTCGATGACCTGCTTCTCGCCAAAGGCATCGGTTTCAATGGCAAAGGTCTCGGTAATGATATCGGTAATGTCATTTTCGAGCATCCACAGAAGTGATTTGTAGTAGTCCAAGTCGAGTGTTTCCATATCCTTGATCGACACGGCTCGTCCGAGGATGTTCTTGTAGACTGCTCGGCTGAAGTGGCAGTCGAGGACACGGCCTTCGTACAATGCCTTACCAATAATGCGCCCAATGAATTTGAAGAACATGAGGTGCTCCGAGTTGACTCCACTGAGGCGGTTGGGGTGGAAGGTAGTCCGATCAGCGGCGACAGGGATGAACAAGGCGTAGTTGGGGTTGAACATGCCACGGGCAAGGACCTGGAACCATTCTCTGGTGACACCACCAGCATCGACACCCTCCTCACCGTGGAATCGAACGTTCAATTTGCCATACTTCAACTCATCTGCACTCTTGAAGTACAAGGACTTGAAAGAGTCAAGGAAAACCTCAGCTCTGCGCACAGAGAGCTGAAGAGGAGGATGAGGGTGGCGAGGCTCGGCACCGCGGGAGTGGACACGACGAGTGAAATAGTTGCGCTTGTTGTCGAATTCCAGGACCTTGGGGTTTTTAACCAATAGGGATAATGTACCGCTCATCAGGCGAGGGTTCTGGCGGACGAGCTCATTAAGAATCTTGCGATGTTCCTCAGTGAACTTGAAGAATATATTTTCCATGCTGAGACCAGCATCAGTCTGGGCGCTGTTGACTGACAGCTCACGGCTACCGCGAGACAGCGGCTGGTCCTTCAGCGTGGTGTTCTTGCAGACAACCATCAATGCCTCAATGAGAGGGAGGAGGATAGTAGCCACGTTCAGCATATTTTCCTTCTGCCGAATGACTGTCAAACAGTCACTCAGCTTGGTCCAAAGTGGGCCGAAAGTGGCGCTTTCATAGAGTTTCTTTAGTACGTCCTCCTTGGGAGCGGCCCCAGCCTCAACATCTTTGGACTTGTCTGCTCGTGCTTGGTCAAACAAATAATCGAGTGCGGTCAGGATACGTAGCAATTTCGCCTGATCGGAGCTGGCCGGGGAGAACTTGGCCAGAGCAAGACCTTGCATGTCGGTACCGGTCTTGGCCTGGTGGATATGAGGGAGAAGGTCTTCCAAATCACCCAAGATGGTATCACTAAGGGCCTGCGCTTGAGCAACCAATTCATTGCCAATCACGTCTCTAGCTCCAGGAACAGCAGATAGATTGTTGATGGTGGAAAGTGTATCACGGAATATCTTGCCATTGCACTCACGAGCCGCAAGGATCTGGACAACCAGTCGGAAGTTGTGATCCGGAACGACTGGAGGCTCGATTGTTCGCTTCTTGCGCTTCTCGTCCTCGGCGGGCTTTTTGGAGTCTTCAGATTTCTTGGCTTCAGCCGAAGTGGCCTCTTCGCCCTCCACGGTCTCTTGATCAGGGGCTCCAGGACTTTCCACAGTCGGTAGCGGAGCATCAGTCATAGATGTGTCCATACTGGAATCGGCAGCCTCAGCAGGTTGATCGGCAGAGGCTTCGATCTGAGGTCTCTCGGGTTTCTTGCCCTTGCCATCTTCCTGTCGCTCTTTTTCGCGACGAAGAAGAACAGTCAAGGGTTGTGTGATGCTGCTCAGGAGGCTGGACAGTTGCTCCATACAATTAGGGCTTTCCATTATCAACTTGCGGTCAAGAAGAGAAAGCAGTGCATTCAAAGCGAACTTGTTAGCTCGATTTTCTTTGCCTTTGCCCTTGCGCAATGACTTGAATTTACCAGGTGAGGCAGAGTCATGCTCCGTCAGGAAGAACCAAGCAATGTGAGGGTTGAATTGCGAAAGGAAGGACAGTGCGGCGATACACTGTTGAATGACCATGATAGGGGTCACTTCACTGCTGACGCTCGAGGCAGTTTGAATAGCGAGGGTTCGCTTAGATTGTGGAGTCTTCTGTGCTCCTGGTGCCTTTGCACGCAAAGAAAGATGAGAAAAGCTGCGTTCAATCGCAGTGGAATCAACGCTACCATCCTGCAAGATCGAAAGAAGAACGCTGATTACCTCACTCCGGTTCTGACGGTTCTCACAAACATTATGAAGAATATCGTTCAATTGATGGCGAGCGTTGCCCTGCAGGGGCATAAACATCAGGCGTAGAAGGGTTGCAACGCCAGCCTTGTCGAGCATTTGAACAATTTGACGTCTCTGCTCTTTCTTCGGCTCTTGGCCGGCAGCAGGCTCAGTTCTCTGTCGGTGATCAATGGCACCCATGTCACCAAACTGGGCCATGCGTCGGCCGCTACCACCCATACCACGGGCTTCAGTCAAGTACTCTGGACCCAAGGTTGCGAGAACATCCTCGGGCTGATCGGCCAGAACAGCCTGGCGCAAAGAGGGATCGAGAGTAGCAAGGAAACTGACAGCATCCATTTCTTCTGCCGGTTGAGTGCCAGAAGCTGTAGCGCTAGCACCGCCAGCAGTGGCCGCCTGTCGTCGCGCAGTCTCACGTTCTCGCCGGCGTCGATCGGCCAGCTCTTGTTGCAGCAATTCTTCACGGATCTCGGCAGGCAAGGCTTCAAGGAATTCTTGGTTTATCTCAGTGTCCTCCTCGCCCGCGGCGGCAGCCTGGGACCTATGTTCAGCAAGCTGTTGCATGATGACTTCCTCGCGAAGTTCTTCAGGCAGAGCCTCTAGATATTCTGAATCAATCTCCAGGCCGGTGATGTCAACCTGGCGGCCCCTAATGTTTGTGTAGACTCGGCGAGCGGGTTCAGTTGGCTGGGCTTCGAGTTGAGCAGATGGGCCAGCGGCTTCAACCGTAGTATCAGTTTCTTGAACGTCTTCCATGGGCTCATCGACCCCAGCAGCTTGGCGCTCGGCTTCCTGTTGTTCTTTTTCTGCCTGCAGTCGGGCCTTTTCTTCCTCCTCCTTTTGCTTAAGCTGGCGAAGTTCCTCTTCAGCGGCAATGCGATCTTGGCGCTCCTTTTCAGCTCTTTCGGCTTGAAGACGTTTGCGTTCCTCTTCCGCAAGCTTCTGGCGCTGCTTTTCCTCCTCGATAGCAGGGGGAACCAAGAGCCTCAGAATAGAGTTGACGATGCGCTGGGTCCGCTCAACATACTGGTTGCTGAAGATAATGCGGGCCTCTTCCTGCCAGCGATTTCTAGTGGTACCGAGACCAAACTTGACGGCAGTGTGAGGGTCATCGCCGCGAGTGCGTGTTGGAGGGCCTGCTCCTCGAGGGATTCCAAGCATATCCTGAATACGACCAGGCAAGACAGCCCGTCGGTCAACATGGACATGAATACCATCAGGGCGAGTCACAACGCCGAAACCTGGCGCCGCTTGTCCACCGATGGCTTGCATAATGGCATTCATGAAGCTGATGGGGCTATCCATGGCAACAACCCGGCCACTTGCAGGGTCAATAGACTGACCCCAATCGGCGAAAGGATCAGCAGCAGCCCCACGAGGTGGAACAGTAGGATCTGGGCGGTCAGTCCGGACAAGAAGAGGATTAGTGCCATCGTCGTTGCCGCGTGACGGGATTTGGGTTCGATGGACACGGTGATAAGGCTGGATAGGAACAAGACCGGATTGGCGACCCGGCATGATTTCAGTGACGGTAGCCCAGGCTGGTGGTGGGCCTCCGCGGAAGCGGGATTGGTGATTTCCTCGGGCCATTGGAGGCTCATCGCCTTCCCATCCCCATGGCTCAAGAAGATCATCGTCTTCTAAAGAAGTCAGTCATGATGTGAGGAAATTTTTAGTGATTGAACTTACCTTCCATATCCCCATAAGATCCTTGTTCCTCATCGAAATCGTCCATGTCCTCGTCAAGTTCATCCATATCGTCCTCGTCTTCAACTAGACTGTATGTCAGCAAGGCTGATTCTAACAGCGGCACTGGCAGTTGCCAAGGCAGTCTAAGGAGGGACAAACCATCTTCATCGAGATCATCAAGAATTTCTTCATGAATATCACCGCCTAGGGCATCTCCACGGAGATCATCAACACCTGTACCATTTAGGGCACGGAATAGGTCACCAAGATGTTGATCCTCACCTTGGTGTCGGGTGGATTGTCTCATGTCGGCCATCTCATCTTCAAATTGGTTCATCATTTCGACCTCCTCTTCGTCTTCGGTCATTTCTTCGCTTTCCCATTCGTCCTCCTCCCCATCTTCGAGGCTTTCGTTGTCTCTGTCACCCCCGATCTCTCCGTCATACATATCATCATGCATGTCCAAATGGTCGTGATCTTCATCATCATCGTCCTCATCCTCGTCGTCATCTTCGTCGAGGATGACTTCGACTGCATCACCAGAAAGACCTTCAATTGGACCCATGCCATCGTCGTCTTCGTCGCTGACGACTTCACCATCATCTTCAGCGACATCCTCGTCGTAGTCCATTTCTTCGTCATATTCATCATCGTACATCTCATCGTCCTCACCCTCCGATTCTTCGGTGCTACTCTCTTCCTCGTCATGACGAGGCTCTAGCATGCCAAGAGTAGAGTGACGGAAGAGGTCAGGTGTTTCTTCGCGTTCGTCTTCCAAGTCAGAAACGGAGGTGGCCGATGAGATATCATCATCCTCGTTGTCACCTTGGATATTGATATCCGAGTTCTCGCTCAGAAGTACGGCAGTCTGTGTAAGTTTATTCAATGGACGAAGAATATACTTGATGACACGCCGGGAGGACGGGAAATTCAAGTCGACATCGGCGACTGATGAAGTGAGCGCCGGGATAAAATTCTTTTCGAACATGGTTTTGGCGAGCTGCCTAGTTGAAGTTGGGAAGCCCGCGTCATTGGTAAAGGAGTAGCCGCTGAGCATTTTATCGAAGAGATCAGCAAGAGACATAAGCTTCGAATACTTGGCATCTAGAGGTTCGGTAGAGGCCATAGCATCTTTGTAGGTCCGGAGAGCATGCTCCAGCACAAAACGGCGCACAAAAGCAAGCTCAGGCTCGTCCTCCTCATACTTAGGGTCAGTACGACGCCTACCAACACCGCCGAATTCGCCGGTCTTGGTGCAAAGCGCAACAAGCACTTGCATAGTCCATGTGGAGGTAATGCTGCGCTTTTTGAATACCAAACTTTCATCGTGATCCATAGTACCGAGGGGAACAAGTACGTTCAACAAATAGTTGAGGACGCCAGAGCGTGGTTTGGAGGGCGTGGTGGCTAGAGGATCAGCCTTGCGGGAAAAGTTGATGAACTCGACCTTGGTTCGGTTGTATGAGGAAAGAAGTTCTGTCAAGCACTGAAGAAGCAAGCAGCGGTAGATGTAAATCGGATGGTCATCTGCCTTGAACTGAGGCTTCTCTACCTTCTTAGTACCGCGAGACGGAGGGGCTTCGGTAGTGCTCGAATTTGAAGGTGTTGGCTCATCCACAGCCATCTCAACATCAGTTTGAGTATCAGATTGGTCAGCTGCGTGTTCTGGGAATTCAGGACCGGCTTCTTTGTCATCCACATCCTTGTAGGACAAAAGCTCCGAAAGCAGATAATGAATAACGCCATCCGGATTCTCCACGATTGGGGCTTTGAGTTCGGCACCCTTGCTTTGGGACTTGGCCTTGTCCTCTTTGCTCTTGTCCGTGTCTTCGGTGGCATGTGCTTCGGCTGCTGCAGATGACTCTGGATCGTGCTCTTCGAGAAGGATACTGGGCCTTCCTCGCTTTTGTTGCCGATCTTTGTCGGCCTTCAATCCAAGAACCTGTGGACGTTGATGGTTATCATATCGGACCAACCGCAGCTTTTCATTTGTGACCTCCACAAAGATGTCTGGAGCTCTTAGCACGAGGTGATACAGCTGCCGTACATAGCCATTCGTGTCAATCTGACGTGCAGTCTTGGCCTCGAAAGCGGCAACAATTTCACTCCTCATGATCTGCCGTATAGTAGCTTCATCCTCGACGATGTGACGAAGGATGAGCATGAAGGCGCTTTGGAGTTTATCATTAGTAGCACTGGAAAGCTGCTTAACCATCACAAACAATCGCTGAAGATTTCGCTTTTCACCAAAGCGGGCGGCAATGCTACGCTCGCGGGTGAGAATGACCAGAACTCGGCAAATGGAGAGCGCTAGTGTATCGTCCTTGCCCACTCGCGGTAAGATCTCGACAAGAGCTTCAAATAGCTGGGTCTTCTCCCCGAGCGAGACAAGGGGTTCGTCTTTAAGGCGGGCTGGTTCATCGCCACCGGGGTTAGGATCATCAATGTTTGGCAGCTTCCAAGCAATCTCGGGAGGCTGACAATCATCAGACAGCAGCTTCTCGAGAATAAGCAGGACATGTCCAATCCAAGGGAAGGTTTCTTGGTCAGCCTTCTCAGGTGTTGGAAGCTTGATAAATCCAAGGAAAGTCAAAAAGCAATCTTTGAGCTCTTCAAGAGTGGCACGGTACATATCAACATCTTGAAGGGTCAATGCGAGAATATGTGCATATGCTGCAATCTTTTTGCCCGCTGTTTGGAAATTCTCCATCTGCAGGGAAACCAGCGATTGAACAAGGGTCTCTCCAATGTCACGACGGAAGTTAACGGGCTCGCTATGCTTCTTGATGGCGGAGGTGATCAAGTCAGACAGTTCGAACGAGACGTCATAATGTTCGTTTAGAATGTCCAGGGCCCGATCGATCAGGTTTGACCGAATGTTTTGCCTCTCTGCATCCAAGTCTTCGATCGTGACCATATGGCGACGTTTGACCTGTTCTGCCTGGGATGTTCCAGCAGGCTCAGAAGGGTTTGCCCCAGTATTACGACTCTCGGGCCGACGCTGGTTCGATGACTCGTCTTGGTCATCGCTATCCATGTCATCATTGTCGTTGAGAACATTGTCCAGAGCTCTAGCCAATCCATCATGCATGTCAGAGTCAATATCGCCTCCGGGAGCAGGAGGACGTTGTAATGCGTCAGGCACGGGTCGCCTGGTTGCTTGAGCTAGAAGCAACTGAAGTGCTGCAGAGCGGTGATCCAGTAGTGCATTAACGCCATGGAGATGCTGAACCTCTCCAATAGCATGATCCTCGAGGGAGTCGATGCCAGAAGCAGACTCTGGTACTCCAGTTTTGATATCGCCGGGACCAGGGGGGACTCTGGGAGGGGCTCGTAGCCATTGCTGCGCCTTGCAGTATTCTTCGGCGGCAACTAAAAGATTATTACAACGATAAAGGGCTTCTTTGTTAAGATCGACATCCATGTACCCTTTCTCAAGCAAGGCAGTAGCTCGTTCCGTGTGGACGACGAATGGTTTCTTGGACATCTCAACCAACAGGGGCGGGGTATCTGCTTTACGAGCCGCACCAGCCTCGTATTCACCATCCAAGGAGTACCGCATGATATCAATCAACAACCGGACAATCGGACTCGATGACTGGGTGGCAAAATCCGAGTTCCACATGTCTCTGGCCATAGGCAAAATCTCCATGCGAAGTTCCACCAAGAGTTGGCCTGGCTGGAAATAATCGGGACGGTCTCGGTCTCTTTCAGGATGAGAAGTCAAGGCTTGTGTTTGGCTAGAGTCCACGATGAACTTCCCAGAAGTGAGGTCTGCGAATAATCCAAGGATGATCTTGATTCCGCCATACCCGGATGCAAGCCGATCAGCAAGCTCTTTGTCCTGGTCGGGAATCGACTCCGCAGATGGAAGAGACTTGATGTCGGCCAAGAAGACATCACAGATGTCTTTCAGCTCTTTCAGACCTTTGATTTTATTAAACGAAACGAGGACTGAAGTCAAATAGTTTGGGCTGGGACGGTCTGCTGAGACTTCATAGAGAAGGTGCGAGAAGTGGGAAAGAATGACAATGAGATACGCGAAACGGTGCTTAGGGCTGTCACTCGAATTGGCAGGGTTAAAACGCAGTTGGCGGAGAACACCTTCAGCAATGGCGTCTGATACCAAAATAGCATTGGCCTTCTGTTTCTGGAGTGGATCTGTGCGTCTCTTGCCAATGATACCTAGTCCGAGGTTGTGCAAGAAGCCCGTAATCGAGGTTGGCAGAGCGCTTAGAAGGTAGCGTAGCGTACGTGCATTCTTGAAAGCGGGACTTTGCTCATCAACTTCAATGTCGTCTTCTTTCGGGATCTGGCCCGGCTGAGCCGGGGCAGTCTCTGGTGCATCAGTGCCCTCCCGTTGAGGTTCGGCGCCAGGCACTGCTGAAGCCCCCTGGGGGTTCCCAGTAACGGGAGCAGCCTTTGACTTTCCAGAGCCATGCTTCTCAGCAGAGGCCTGTGTGGCTTTTAGCCACTTCTCAGGGATGTTCTTCTCTAGCAAAATTCCTTCCCATACGCAAGAAGCAACGAGGTTGCTTAATGAGGAGATCAGGGAACAGTAGTGATCTGCAAGGTTGGCTTGGCCAAAGATCGAGGTAGACTGACCAGGTCGAGTTTGGTATAGTGGCGACGCGAAAACCTCGCGAAGGACGTCGGTGAGGAGAAGAACGGCGTTCAAATGCCTCACGAAAAACGTGCCAGATTTAGCAGCAGCTGTAGGCTCGAAAGCCGGCTTTTTGGAATTTGCTGGTATGATCAATTCCGTGAAGAATCCCGATCCAGTAGGCGCAGTCCAAAAGGCCGACAGGTTGTCCACTGCTGCCTGTGCGCGTCGAACAAGAGACGGGAGCACAAGGTGAGGCTTTGTTTCTGCAAGCATGTGAATAAGCACAGTAATCTCTTGATTAGCGTTGGTGCCGTGGAAATCAAATGCCAAGCTTTGGAGGGTCGCAAGATCCAACAAGAACTCTGTGCCGCCGGCCATAATGAAGGACGTGCAGTTCGTCTGGTTTTCGAAGAAAGCACCTAGGAATCGCAGAGCTGGGAACAGGTAGTCCGTAGCTGAAAGACCATGATCATCCTGATCTTTAGGCTCGAAGTCGGGGCCGGGCGAAGGAAGAACCTGGTCCAAATGCCCAACAACAAGCTTAGCGCCGTTAGGAAGGGTGTTCACGTTGAGCTGGGGAGCACCAAACGAGGCCGGGTCGTCTACAGATGCATCAACAGCTGTGCCGATTTCTCGGAACAATGAAAAGACATCTCCTGAAAGAGTTGTTTTGCCGTCGACGTCTTGAGTCCACATCTTCGTGCCCATGCCTAGCTCCCATGCCTTGACTCGCCCCAAAATGTTGACGCGAGCAGCCATTACGAGGACGGCAGACATGATAGACGTCTTCAATGCTGGGTGGTGTCTAACAAGCTCATCAAATGTTGTGCCTAACGAACGAACCAGTTCGGGGTCATCCTTTAGGCACTTGACATGCTCAGGGTTCTCGAAGATCTCAAAGAAGCTTTCTAGTGCATCGGAGGACTGGAAGAGGTCCAAACCGGAGGAATTCAAGCAGATGGCTCCAAATGCACCAGGGATACAAGCGAGAGCATCAGCGGCGGGCATTATGCCAGGTGCAAGCGGAGTGTTCTGGGGCCTGACGATAGCATACTCCCGATCTTTCTGCTTTTCCTCAGACTGGGTGGCGGCTTCAACGCTGGGTGGTTGAGTAGCGGGCTCGACCTCAGTCTCGGCATCGGTCTCGCGGTCTTCGGGCTCCACAGCCGCCGGCTTCTCCAACACGTGAAGTTCACGGCCCATCACGGCAGCAAGAAGGCTCTTGCTAAGGCCAGCCTCGGCGATGACAGCATAACTGGTAGGCTCATTATGGATGAAGCTGCTAAGAATATTGACAGCATTGCTCCAAACATGCGAGCCGAACACACGAGCATTTTCGAACACAAGCCGAAGAGAAGTCAACAGCTGAGGAGAATCAATCAAGTTTCGCAGAACTCGATCGAAACCTCCACCATTATGCTGCATGATATGATTGACGAAACGGAACATCCAGCGAAGAGTCTGCTGCTGGAAGTAAGGGATTTGATAGTCTATCGAAGGATTCTTGTATTGGGCAGGGAATCCAACCCCGCGATTGACCTTCTCAAACGCGGTCTTGGTCTCGTGGTCAATCAAATCAGACATGGCGTCAAAGCCCTTTGCTGTTGTCAGGGTACCCAGTGCGTCACGAACCGCGTGCACAAATGTATCGAGGAACTCCATGATTCGAGAATAGACCCGGCGGGATTTTTCAGTCCGCAGGTTCAGAATATCAACAAACATGGGAATCAGACCAGCTGCAACCAAGGTCTCCGGTGTACGTGTGCTCGAGCTTGGGAGAGTGCGCAGGAGTGCAAGTAAAGCATCTCGCCACTCATCGTAGTAGGCATCATCCGGATCGTTGTTGTCAGGGCCTAGTTCATTGACCATTTTACGGGTCAAGAACATAAGAATTCCATGATTTACATTGACGCTCAAAGCTGCACAGACGTCAACAGCACGAGCCTTGTGCTTGGCCAACGCATCCAGTGCCTGGATCGCCAAAGTCTGGACTGACCGGGAGACCTCGAGATCACCACTTGCACCAAGATGAACCACTTCAGCAAGCTGATAAGCAAGCTGCAGACGCTTCGGTTGTTCCAGGTCAGATTGAAGAACCTTTGATTGGAAGGTACTCTCCGGCTGGACATGGGCCAGGTTGGTCACTGCCAGTGCTTTGATGGAAAGGATCTGTTCTCGCGTTGTATGCGACTCTGTCAACGCCCTCGCGACTCGGAGCTTTTGGAGCAGCTCATATTTTGATTCAAGAGGTAGATGGGGCAAGTTGGCTGCAAGAAGATCTTCCAGTTTTGTCGTTGAAACTTTTGAATAGGGAAGCTCTAGAACTTTCCCCGCTCGCGTGGCCTCCTCTGTCTTCCCGCCGACGGCGGCTGGCGATTCATCTCCATTCGAGCCCAGATTGGAATGAGGAGTAGGATGTGTTGCACTACGTCGCAACGGAGTTGGCGTAGTTGGAACGTGGGAGCCCTGCTCCATCTGGCCAAATTCGGAGGTTGTTCTGGTCTGTTCAGAGCCCGAGGGATAGTAAAGAACTCGAACATCTCCCCATTCCTCCCAGCCTTCGTTATCACGCACAAGGGAAACCAATTCATTGGCGTTAATTTTTGTCTGGGCTGTATTTTCTTTCCCCTTGTTTAAAACGGCGGGAGATGCGACAAATGGCGTTTTACTAGCGATGACTGGACGTGGAAAAGGTGCTGCGATCTTCTGCAGCTTTTCAAGATCAAGAGCATAGTGGGACTGCAATACGGACTGTTGATGGGTGCCACGCTGACGAGAGTGGTACCGTTGGGCTAAGCAAAGAGATAGCCGCAATGTAGATTGTAGCAGAGAGAGTGAGGTGGTGTTCAACAGGTCACCTAGGCGATCACTGCTGCTGTACAGGCTTCGATTGCCACATTTCTCGAGCAAGAGACGAGAGAAATCAAGAACTGCTTCCACGAGCTCTCTATCTCCATCAGGGCCGTATCCCAGGGCATTCAGTTTAGCATCAACCCCTTCTGCGGGTTTCTTGCTCTCATCGGCTGAGTATGATTGCTCCAAAACACTTCGGGTGAACAGCTGGGTTTGAGGACCAGTATTCAGGAAATATTTCTCAACGGCCGATGCCAGAATCTCATCGAATCGATCCAGGACCTGGATCCAATGGTAGAGATCACCGCGTGGGAACGGCCATAGCTTAGGGAATGTGTTGAGAAGCGACGGGAGCTCTGGAACGGGAAGAGTTGTGGCACGCGATATGAATTCGTGCAAAAAAGGTGACTGTCATGAAAGGAAAATTTTTTAGTTGGGTTGCATATCAGGCCTCCGGAGAGTAACTTACGATTGTAGCCTCATGCTTTTGGCTAGCTACCTTCTTAATTCTCCCCATGATACCGATCGATTGACCAGCCAAACATGAGGGAGTTGAGAGATTCCAGGAGGGCTGTCTCCTAGAGAGGGTGGAGCGAGAAGGTCTTTAAAGACCGATGTCGCGGAGAAAGCGCGAAGATGCCTTATGACGTTTTTGGTGCTGTTTTGCTGCTTCAACGAAAATCGAATCAACTCAACGTGATGAACACCTGAGCAATGTTTCAACGTCAATAAAAAGCAAGCTAAAGAGATGCTCGATCGAATTTACCATTCAATGAAGGAACTTGAGTAAGAAGCTTCAACTCCGAGAGCTGAGAGAGGTGAGATATCGGAAGTCGGTCAAATAAGGGAAAACGGGTGCAGGTCGTTATCCCTCAAGATTTGACGTAGAGGTATTAAGGATGTCAAAACGAAAAGATGACAAGGAAGGTGTTGGTTGATAGAAGAGAAGAGGGAAAGGACGAGCAACGTGAAGAGAAGCTGCCGGCAGAAGGCAGAAGGGCGGAGCCGCTGATTTCCCCCGCTGGGCCTCAGGCATCTTTCGTCTTTCCAACTTCTAACTTCAAATCTTTGATATGATGCAATTGTTGGATTTTATCTCATGTAAAGAGAAAAATACAAGAAAGCCTGCTTTACTACATCCTCTCAAATATTTTTGAAAAATGTGGTACTTCAGATTAAAAGCCAGCTTCGATTTCATTGATGCGCGCTGAACCACCTCCCTGAGAAAAGTACATGCACACTATACAAACAACCAGCCAACATTATAGAGTTCTCTCAAACAAACTTCATGTTCTTGGCAATTCTCGTATATACGGTGTTTACTCCCTCCTAGCAGGCAGATCCCCGTCCCATTGGATTTTCATAGTCACTGGGAACGGAGAAAAGCTACTGTGCTGGGCATCCATATACATGGCGATTCCTCCTAGTCCATTGAGCCTCTTCAGGTGGCCTTGGGGTCCGGGAGCGCGACGGACATTATCCAGTCGCCCAAGAACCTTGAGCATGGTGGAAAGTGCAAGGGGGCACATTTTGACGCCCAAGCATTCATGGGGACCGAAGCCAAAGTGAGTGTACAAACTCATATCGCGGTCAAGACGGACCTTGTCGGGATCAGGGAATGCAATAGGGTCGCGCCCTGCAACAACCTATATTAAAACACGGGTTGTTAATATATGAATGCCGACGGGGAAAAAAAGCAAGGCTACCAAAGAACCTACCAAATTGCAAATGATCTCCTGGCCAGCTTTCAAAGTGACCTTCTCGCCGTTATCTTCGACCACCGTTGGCTGAGTGACAAATCGTGGCAATGCTACCGAGCATCGAAGTCTCGCTCCTTCCATGAAGCTGCATACCGTTAGTATAGTGTCTTAGATCCTAATTGGGAAGAAACTTACTATCGCACAAGAAGCTCGTCGGCCTCAGGGGTGTTCTCTCTAGACAATCGCTGGATCTCCACCAGATGCTCTGCCGCTTCTTCAGAGAGGTAGTAGTCGATACATTGAGAGAAAAGCTGGCCTTGGTTGGCAACCAATGCACCAGCCGTGGGAAGGATGTGCGACCAGACAATGTCCTTAACGGGCAACTCGCTGTCGAGCAAGCGTTGGATCATGTGAACACCATATTCACTCAAAATGTCATGGCGGTGTAGACGGTTGACCAGGTTGGAAATAAATCCAGTCTTAGAAACTAGTTCGACATTGGCTAGCGTCAACTCACCCAGCTTCTGTGCAACATTGCGAGCAGTCTGGCAAAGTTGGAAAGACTTGGATACGTCAACATCGTAGAAAATACTAGCGAAGATCACAGCCAAAATCTGGTACAACTCCTGCTCACTGAACACGCCTCTCGGATTTGACTCTGTCTTGAGAGACAGGGAGAAGACGTTGGCACAGAAGTGAACTTGGGCGAGAATGGCAACATCACGAACGATATCGACTTGGTTGACGCCAGCAACCTTGAATGAGTTTCGCTCGAGGAGTTTCAAAGTAATATCCTCGTAGAAGGCTTTCACTTCTGACTCCCACTTTTCACGGTGCAGAGCAGCACCGATCATCTTTCGCGAAGCTGCATTAGCAGGGAGATCGCCCGACAAGGCAAAATCTCGCCCATAAGGACGACCGCTGTTCTCCATCAAAAATTGGATCTTCTCACCCCACACTACCTTGAATCCTTCTTGGTCTTTCAAGATTTTTGTGCAAGCAGCGTGGGAGTTGATGAAGAGGGCCGGGGCTTTGTAAAATGGTCGGTCAAAGCTATAGGTTTTTACCTTACCAAGGCTGGTCAAGATCTTCTTGTTCTCATCCGGGACAACCAGCGGGAAGTGTGCGTAGACCGAGTCCCCTCGGAAATGATTAGGGAAGGCCTTCAGGACCAGTTTGTAGAAGATCTGACCGCCATCAACGGAGACGTCATTGTTGATCTCATTGAATGCCCAGTTTGTGAGATGCTTTGGTGTGAAGTCAACAGTGTAGAAGCGATCCCCACGAACCAAGGCGACTGCATCTGAGAGAATGGCCCGTGAGGTTGTAAAATTGGTGCAAAGACCGCTACCCGGGGTCATAGCCTGTTTGGCCTCTTCGACAATGAGGCCAGGGTACAACTCAACGAGGTCGGGGTGGTCATAGAAATGCTTGAGCTGGTTCGCGATATATGGGTCTGGGTTGATCTCTTCAAAGGTTTGATAAGAAGCCAAACCAAAGTATTGACGGAATTCGTTCAAGGTTGCCAAATTCCAAGAGCGTGCTTGTTTGATACCAAGAACCTCGATGCTCCTAAAGACATCCGGTACATTTAGAGCACCGAAAGCTCCGGCGGGATCCTCAACACTCTCCTCGAAGATCTTGACCAAATCATTATCGTCAAATTTCCCATCTGCTTGGCGTTGCAATTTGGCGAAAGGACGCTCTTGGGGATCTGCTGGGAGTTTTGATTCCCATTGGCGAAGACCACCCGTAAATTGCTGCATGCTAATATCCTTCGGATTCTGTCCATCAAATAGCTCTTTGTACAGATCCTGCGACCATTTGTCGTCCCGAGCCGAGACACAAGAATGCCAGCGATAAACAAGATTGAACTCGGCAGATACCTGGTTTCCGGTCGCCTGGGCAGGTGCCTGGCCGAGTAAGCCATCCCTGATCTCCGCACGGGGATCCAAACTCCACACGCTGTCAGTTCGGTTGACGTTGAGAATGGTCCGGACATAATCCTTCAGAATGATGTTAACATAGAGGCCACATGTAACCAGTCTGGCGGTCTGGAAAAGGTCGTTATCCCAGGTGGTATAAGCTTGAGTATTTGACTCATCTGGTTTTGTAAAACGGCCACATTCATTGATAGCTGCCAATTGAGTGGCAACCGAGTTGTGGAAACGGTTGAACATGATAAGAAGAACGCCAACGCCCGGGGGGAACCCCAAAACCCGCTTGGTAGAAAAGCAGTCAGGTTTCAACTTTCCGTCCTTGAATGTTCTGACTGTATCCTGCTCTTTCTGGTTGTTACCATAGAGTGGAGACAAGTCCAAGTACGAGGATGTCAAAGATTTTGTTTGGTCCCTGGGGTCTGTCTGGAATAAGTCTGAGAACTGTTAGCCTCGGTGATTCTGTCACTTCCTATTGCAGAGATCTCAGCCAACAGGCAATGACCTACCGTGGATGATTATAGAGGCAAGATAGAATAACACGCTAGAAATCTTGTTCGGGTGCTCCTTGAAATCTTTCCGAGCCAAGAGACTGTCGAAAAGAGCCTCGGGCTCCGGAAGAGCAGCAGGCTGCATAGTCTTCGGTCGAACAGACCGTGCATATGGAGTATTAGCAGCACCAATCTGAGGCCAAAAAGGGTTCTAGGGTTATTTAGCAGAGATTCTCAACCTATAAGGGCGCAGTTCATACGTTTCCAGATCCATCAGCCTTCCGGTATGCCGCATCGCGTCCAAGATAGCTGCATCACCAGTCAGTCACTAGACATTGTTCATACACACCGACAAGGCATTCCATGACTCACGAGGCAGGCGGGTGCTCCAGATCCCCCCACAATTGGGTGAGGAAGGTATTGGTCAACTCCTTGCCATTTCGAGATGTCGAAGGCAAACCAGCAGCAAGCTATACATGAATTAGAGCGGGAACATAGCCAATCTCTTGCGGAAATACGAACCTGAATCACGCGCTCCATGACATAATCTCTGTCATTTACAGCCTCCCCAGTCACAGCACTTTTGGCAACATCCGCCAAAGTTTTGGCATCTTTCAGATCAAAATGGAGTAGATCCTTGGCGAGGCCAGTCACAGTTGGATTCTGTACATAGCTACCATCGCCAGTTTGGGTGGGCAAGGGCCGCAAGGCTGCAGCCACAGCTTGCTCGACCTGAGCAATCTTGCTGCTGGAATTGGAATCGTTCTCAGACATGGTGAATTGAGATGATATGATACAATGGGAAACTATATAAAAAATTTGAGGGTAAACTGTGATGAATCCGTCAGCTTCAATGCCATAGATACCAGCGAGGTTGTACTTTGCGGCTCAGTGTTGAAGGGGACCTTGAGCAAGACCCAAATCATTCAATGTAGAGGTCGACCAAGGCAAACAAGAGAGACAAGAGAAAAAAGCAGTGTAGCGGTTAGTACGGAGTAGCTTACCGGTCTATGTCAAGCACCGTTGGGTAGATAGAAGTATCAAGGTAATAAGGTAATAAGGTGGACGGCTTAGCAACAACTCAGAGTCGCAAGCATGTATATAGAAAAACAGCAAGAGAGACAGCAAGAGAGGTTGTTAAGAAAAGAAGAAGAGAATCATCATGCGATCATTTCGGCGGAAATGGGATAGGATATTATTATAAGCCGTGGGCATCACGGCGTAATCCGAGAGCTATCAGCCGAGCAATGCGTACGGCTGAATGCACTTCACATCCCCAAGGTTCAGCCGCGCCTCCATTGATCAATGTTAGCGCAAGGTGAGCATCCTGGAAGAAGAGGGTTGCCCCACTGCTATAAACAATTGAAAATCTCTGATTCGTCCATGCTTATCCCCTGTCGAGTTTTATGGGGATTTTTGCCTAGCCACTTATTGGATGGACCGTGGCGGATGATCCGGAATACGAATGGCTAGCTAAACTAATACAAACATACGGAGGACGGAGTAGACACGAGCTATATTAGCACATGCAATAATAATAGCTCAATTTAGTTTCGAAAGATATGGTCTACACTGCGCACTGTGATTGGAGAAAATGACAGCCAAATGGGTCAGAGGATCTGCACAGGCTCTGGAAATCATATTTTCTCACAGAAAAAAATATAAGAACAATGGCAGGTACCTAGAGATCCTCAGTGGACTTCTAAGGTTTGTCTCGGTTGAGGCGTTGATTGGTGATGCTGTTTGGCCAATCTGGCCATGCAAAACAAAGCTGAGACCTCCAGGGCTAGACGGGTCGATATCATTAGATTCTGATTCGACATTGACATTGAAGATTGCAGTAGCTTGATTTTCTCAGCTTACGGAGTACACATAACCCAGCACTGCCCTGCCACTTTGTGCCCCACTGCGCCTCGTTGCCTTTAGCTTCTGGGAACGGGTTGCTCCAGCTGACAGGCGAGATGACTTGAAGGGTTTATAACCTTTGTTATCCCAATAGACAGTGGCACACAAGGTGGCTCTCTGAGGAGATACCGCATTGAACAGAATGTGCCATTGGCGGACAGGCTAGTCCAACCTACAAGGTGAAGTGAGTGCGGAAGACAAAAACCATCCGGAGTAAGAGACATAGCCCCGCGCTCAATGACCAGGATACAAAGATTGTACGACTTCCATTTTTTTTAAAAAAACGGTAGAACGGCCGACATGCCCCTGTTCGCAGTAAGCTGCCAAGGCAACCTTGCCCAGGTGGAGGGCCATCCCAGGAAAGCCCAAACATTGGATATTGGATAATTGGCCTCAGGTGTCAACACGTGACATCAACCGAGGTCTCAATTGTAGATTGTTGGGACTGCATTTTTTAGCCTGTCGCGATTTCAACGATTTATCTTCGTGATCGCAAATAAGCTCCATCATTCAAGCATTATATTTGCTCGAGCTCAGTATTCATCATGGCGGCTGATAAAATCACGCTGGTCGTTCAGCCAAGGGGTATGTGTACATAGCTATCGTTTACCCAAAGCTCTCAACAAGACGACAGCGAGAGTAGCCCACAAGCATCGCTAACCTAAAAGCAGGCAAACCCATTCGAAAGCTTCCTAAGGAAATTGAGATTCCTCTCAATGCCTCCAGTGAAGAATTGCACACTGCGCTCTCCGCAGCATCCGGTTGCTCAACCCACCGGATGAGAATCACCAAGGGTAGTGACCATAGCGTGGTCCCGAACTCGATCAACATGACCATCGAGGAAACTGGCATGCGCAATTCAAGCGTGATCTACGTTAAGGATCTCGGTGCGTGTTTATATCCAATACCATACACAGTGCAATTCCGACCCCTAGGATCAGCGCACTCTCCCCAGCGAATCGACATAATCTAACATCTAGATCCTTCAACCCAACAGGACCCCAAATCGCCTGGCGTACCGTCTTCATCATTGAATATCTCGGTCCACTCCTGATCCCTGCGCTTTTCCTCTTCCCCCTCCGACCCTTCCTGTACTTCACCTTCGACAAGCCCCTGCCCCCGCCATCCGACCTCCAGCTCCTAGTCTGCGCGCTCCTGACTGTGCACTTCCTGAAGCGCGAGTTCGAGACAATCTTCGTGCATCGTTTCAGCAGCGCTACCATGCCCGCCCGCAACATCGTCAAGAACAGTGCCCACTACTGGATTCTGGCTGGTTTCAACATCGCCTACTGGGTGTTCCGCCCCGACGCGAATGCCGCCACTAGTACACCCAACCAGGCTCTTGTGTACGCCGGACTGGCCCTGTTTGTCTTTGGTGAGCTTGCGAATCTGAATGCGCACTACATCCTGCGCAACCTCCGCCGGCCTGGTACTACTGAGCGTGGTATTCCGTCTGGATTCGGTTTCAGTGCCGTTACCTGCCCCAACTACTTCTTTGAGATCCTCGCTTGGTTGGGTATCTTCCTTGTCAGTCAGTTGAACTGGAGTGTGCTGTTCTTCGTTTTTGTTGGTGGTTTGCAGATGTGGAGCTGGGGTTGGAAGAAGGAGAAGCGCTACCGCAAGGAGTTTGGTGACAAGTACAAGAAGAAGCGCGCTGTCATCTTCCCTGGCCTTGCGTAGGAGGTTGGCTGAATGGCCAAGTCCAGGCTGGTATTTGGCATTCCCACATACCATGGTACTGGGCTCAGTAGTTGTGTGGGTGGAGAAGAGGAAGAAAAATACTGCAAGGCATCGGATTGCCTTTGTTGACGACTTGGAAGAAGTCCCAAACAGCTTATCGATCGACCCTACTTGGCATGATAGACGGTATGCGCTAATTACTGATATCATGAGGCGATGTATTATTTTGGTATGGGACATAGAAAAAGTTGAATGATTATTGTGTTCCTTTTGCAGCTACATATGCACGCCAAAACGCCATTTCCCTCATGTGGAGACAGTGGACTCCTAAATGCAAACGCCACTTCAAGAGCAAGGCAGTCGAGCCTCGGGCTGTCTAATCGCCCTGCGTCTTTTTCTCCCATAGCTTATAGTATGGCTCTAGTTCGTGGGCACAGTCCCGGCCCTGTGTATCATCGCACCCATGAAATTGGATCACGAAGTCTCCATCCTTGTAAGTACCATCCAAAGCAGCCCCCGGCGAGTCACTACTATAGGAGCTCAGAATGCGCTGAGGAACCAAGGTGGTTCGAGCGAGGACAGTTGGGTGCCACTGCATGATGTGATCCTAGCGGAATTTCGGTCAGAATCAAGGTTCTCGAAGCAATAGGGTAAAAGAGTAATAGATTCGGCTTACAAGTCCATGAGTTTCTGACTTAGCAAAATTGTAGATGCGGTAAAGCGGGTCAAACCAGACATCTAGGAAGAAACGGGCAAACTCTCCATTCCTCAGAATGAAGCTCCCGGGATTCAAATCCTCGCTGTCTTGGGTGAGAATGAGGTCCACGTCCTTTTCACTCTGGTGCGCAAACGTCTTGATAATACTATCTGGTGGCACAATTGGCACTTGCTTCATCATCAAGTCTTCAAGGCGGCCCTTCTCCAGAATGTGAGATTTGAGTGATTTGGTAGGGTTCATGATCAAAGCATTACTGGCGAGGTGGAAGAAGTATGCCGAGCGAGGATGTGTTGCCATGGCATGACGGGTGGCCGGTGCAACTGCCCAGCTCATTGGAGCATCGCCAACGGCATCGTCGTAATCCGATACTTTTGCGAAGAAGTTGGTGTAGCCTGTTTCCGCGTGAGTGTTTAGGTCCAGCTCATTAGGGAGGAATCTCTGCCGAACGGTTTCATAGAGGTGTTACTTACCATGGCGCTTGGCATAATCCTCCCGGTTTGCAACGATCTTCTTGAGATAGCTCTCGCTGAACCGTTGACGGTCTAACAGTGTGACAATCACCACACCAGAAGTACCCACCGGAGCTACCACGGATGTGGAGGCCGAGGAGTAGAGGTAGTGGAGGAGATAAATAAGGGATAATATTGCGAATACCAGAATGGCCGCCGACTTTAGTTGTTTCCTGCGATAGGATGACATTCGAGGGGAGCGGGAGAGAGGTAGAGAATGCGGGCTTCGCCGCGGAGGTAACGCGAACTGCATGAAGGCGAGTGTACTTGTCCCTATGTGAGTGTATACAAGGGACAGTTTTTCTGCTCAAATCAGATCATTAGACAGAAACCAAATCATAGAGCAAAGTCAAAGAGTTGAAGAAGCTGAAGTATGAGAGTTGAAGATCGACGCGGGTGCGAAGATCCCGACAGATGTGGCGTCCGAATCCGGCCCACCTTCTTGCATTCCAACGGGCTTAGAGATCCCGCATCCAGTTGGAAATTTATATTTGGATTGGAATTAATCAGAGACAAGATGAATGGTATGTCTTGATTGGCGCCATAGTGTTGGGTTTCATTGGACAATATTTACGAAGAAAAATCGAGATAATAACAATAGATGATATATTCAGTAGATCAGGTCTAGTGTATATACATGAACACCGCATCTCACACCACATTGATTGAGCACTCTTTACCTCTTCTTTTTCCCGATGGTCTTATCAATACACAAGGCTTCTTCATGTTATGACAGCTACTGCAACTGCATTGCTTTTACTTGCTCCCTAGAACGGAGGAGGGTTCAAGTCCAACCCATCAACTGTCAACCGGAATGCATCTCTCGAATAACTTCCCGCAACATCCATATCAAGTCGACCGCGCTCACAATCCTCCAAGTCGATATCAGAAATTACAAGCCCATTTTCGATACTAGAGCCATCGGCTGCATCGTCAGTGGAGACTTCCCAGATAGGCTCAGCCAAAACTTCGCCGAAGGGCCCGACGATGCAGGAGCCACCACGCGAGACATAGCGATCTGAAGCTTCTAAGAGACGATGAGTCATTTGAGCAACCACGTAGAAATAACATAGGATGACCATATACTACGTACCTTCTGTAGTTCTATTCTGCTCAGTGATCCAGGATGGTAATTCATTGTAGCGCACACACTGATTGCAAGATAACACGAAAGTTCGGCCTTCGCCACCAATAGTGCGCATGAGAGGGAGCCAAGTGTCGCGGCCATCAGCTGTGGGGGCGAGGTAGACGTTCACGTTCTGTGAATAAAGACTTTGCCGAAGTAAAGGCATATAGCTTTCCCAGCAGATAGCGGCGGCAATAGTAAGCTTGACTCCATTGAGCTCCGTAGTGATAGCTTTGAGTGTAGAAGGGGAGCCTTGGGCCCATACTAAACGTTCTGAACCAGTCTTTTTCAACAATTTTAGGTCAGCATTAGTCTATACCCAAGGTATCTTCCATACCCTGCCTTCATGAAGTCAAGTTGACTATGGTGGGCAGTAAAACTCAATGACCCATGTACTTACTGGCATGACCTTTCTTCTTTTCCCCAGAACACCCCGCAGTGGGTCGACATACAGCACGGAGCAGTACAGACTTCCCCCCGCTTTCTCAATCAACCCAGTTGCAATAAAGACACCCGTTTCTCGAGACAACCGCTCGAGGAACTCTCTTGTCCCATCCCCACGATGTTCTCGACCTTGAGCTACGGGGAGCTTGCGCTCGACCCAGTCATCTCCCGCTCCAGCAGGTGTATCGCCCAGGTCAACGGCAGCACGGAAGTATTCAAGGAATTGATCCCGGCCATGGGGTTCACGAGCGCCAAAAACAGTTCCAAAGTCACAAGTACGGGGATACCCGCCTAAATAAGCTTCTGGAAAGAGGATAAGATGAACACCCTTTGAAGCTGCATGCTGGGTGGTTTGCTTGAGAGCAGCGAGAGTCAATTCAAGTGTAGATAGAGTGCGGGCTTGCGCCACAGCGACAGTGATTTTCTGAGGCATTGGAGTGTAATCTTTTTCGCTGTGCAGTATTTCAAAACAAAAGGTTGAAAGGAGTCAGAATAAGTTGGTACCTCTCTGAGCATTAAGTACTCAATTCGGACTCTTTCCCGGGGCTGTTATGTCCGTCGGACTTTGACATGCCGATGAGCTTGCATGGTAACTTCACCAATAGTTTGAACTTAGGCTTGAATCTAACTGATCTGCTATCGCTATTTACTCACTCAAATGAAGCCAAAGATAGGATGACCAAGTATTCCAGTCCTGATCTTTTTGGCAAATCCCTAATCACGTGGATCGACGGAGTCAAAATGGAACTCTCGTCGGACATCTCAGTCCGATACACTCAGTGAGCTCACCGAATGCCAAGTCCGAATGGAAAGAAACAGAGTTCCCTCTAGGAAGAGACAGAAAGCACTAGCTTGCCGACGGTGTCGATCACGGAAGCAGAAAGTGAGTGTGCTCGATTACAGCCTGAGATGATAGAAATACCAACCAAAGCCAGTGCACAGGAAGCAGACCGTGTAATAATTGCACAGCAGCAAACCAGGGTAAATATGGATTTACAAAAACAACAAGACGATATTTCCTAATCGCATGTAGAATGCATCTCAAGTGAGCCAGTAAGCCGAAAGGCTCGTGTCAGTACCGAGTAGGTTGAGTCGACCAAACTACAAGTACCCTGCTAACTACTTTGATAGATACACTCGAGCTCTTGAAGACAGGATTGCAGACCTTGAGTCTCAAATTCCAGACGCGAGGCCAGGAAATATCTCTGCCAGCCGCAAAACAACTACGCAGGAATCTCCGCATCCAAGAGGCACTGAATCGGACCATGTTTCTCAGGCTTCACTTGGGTCAAGGCCACCATACCCTCGCGATATGAATCAAGCCAGGGCCTCGTCAGATTCTGTTTCTCTGCCAGTTTTAGCTCCCTGCTCATCATTAGCCTTAACATCCCCCTATGCAGTGGAAGGCTTGCCAGATCCTCCTGGCCAGTGTGGACATTCCAGCCTATTGATTAGCATCCTGGCTACTCTGACAAGCACCGAGTCCTCTGGACTTTCGCAACCACAGCTTGAAGGTCGGAATACCCACATTTTCTCGCAGACCACAGGTCAGACATCCCAGGCAGATCGTGTCTCGCGGCTTTCAAATGAGGCATCTGATCGCTTAGTTCAAATATATCTGGAACGAGTTAATCCACGATATCCTTTTCTTCATCTCACTACTTTTCTCGGTTGGTATGAATCGTGGAAGGCTCATTCGCAGATGGACAGGGCCAGGCATCAGCAGTCCCTATGGAAGGACTATTTTGTAACCATGGTATGGATCAAATAGTCATCGTTTCAAAATTATACTAACTTTCAATCCATTTTAGGTGCATGCTGTTGCCCTACTTCTAACACCTCGAGTCTCAGTCGATGACATTGCCACTTCTCAAGTACGTGCACGTTGGATGCTATATCTATGACTGAAGGGAAAGCTAATAGCTTAGTCTTTGTATAACACTGCCATGCAATATCTTATCCACGTCTTTGCGCAACCCGACCCTGTTCTACATGCTCAGGCATATCTCCTTCTGACTTTACATGCACTTCATTCTCCATCATCACATACAATTGTCACCATTGTCTCTGCAATGATGAGATACTGTGTCATGGCCCAACTTCATTTAGCTGAGAGTGAGCCGGTGGTGCCAAATCCCGCATTTTCCTTGAAGATCCAAACCCGCCGTCGCGTCTTTTGGTCTGCTTATGCATTGGATCGATTTACGAGTTGGATTTACCACATCCCAAACAATATTATCGATGAACATATTAGCGTGGAGGTGAGTCATTTCTCGATAATCAGACCTCAGGGTATATAAGTGGAAAAAAAATCGAAGATGCTGACAATACTAGCTTTTTTCAAACGTCGGAGACGCGGATCTTCACCATGAAGGATCAGAGGATAGTCGTATTCAAATAGAAACACCATCGCAGAAAACACACGTCTCACCGGCACTTCACCTATTTCGATGCAGACGTATACAGTCTCGGATCATCAGCACTATGATGAGGTCTGATTTCAAAGAGATAGATGCCTCAACGACATGGCGAGAACACATGTTGGGTGAATTGGACTCTTGGAGGTCTCAATTACGGCTATTGAGCGATGTTGCCTCCAAAAGCTACACGAGCGATCGTTGGGTTGGCATGGCTTACAATTACACGATCCTGCTATTGCACCAGCCAACCAAAGAAAACGTTTGCAGTGGCTTTGGGGATAGATCAGTCCCAGCTTGTGTTCAGATTGCTATGACGTTTAGGACCTTTCAAAAAGACCGACAGACGGCACAACTATGGCCTGGGGTATGTGCTCGGAACCCTTGTTCTTTCCCCCATCAACTGACACAGTCCGATAATCAGCTCTTGAGCCAAGTAGCCGTAGGTATTACTCTTCTATACTGCTTTTGGGCAACTCCACCTCAATATCAAACCACCGCCTACCGATCACGAGAAGTCCCAGAAGCATTACGCGCCTGCTCAACCGCGCTGGCTATCCTAGCGGAGCGATGGGTTCAAGCTGAGCCTTTGCGCGATGTATTTGATGTTCTAGCTAAAGAAATCCCACTATACGGAACGACGGAAGACCCACCACCGAGGTGCATCTCGGCGGAGTCTGCTACCTACATCGAGTCCCTGATGCCTTTGCTCACGTCGATCATCATGCATCGGGGTGTTTTGCGCATGATACGCGAGATGACTACGGAAGATTTCCCAAGGAGTTTAAATGAGGAATTTCACGACCAACTGCCGGCATCGCATGACCAGACTATGCTTGGCAGCTTGAGTAGTCACATGTGCACCGAACGGTGTCCGTTCTTCCGTGAGCCAACGCACCCTGGCTCGATGGGTGGCAGGGATGCCCAAACTTTTTCCTTACTTGAGAACGGAATTGGCAGTGCATATGAGGTTGATGACGAGACGCTCATGTTTCCACTCCTCTTTGGTTCGGCGGAATTTTGATCTCGGGGGAATGTTATATTCTCTTTGAACATGTTATAAACTTGGCATAAAATTGGAGTAAGATGAAACATTTTGATGATTGAACACAATGTAAGATTGGAGTATAAGTACACAGAAGACCCAAGATGCAAATTGAATAAAGAGACCGCACCCAAATTAGAAAGCTGTGGGCATCTTTTCTGCCACGAGAAACGTGATAGCGTAGAAAGATGGCACAAAGTCTGTGGTGCCCAAAAAACCGT